TAAGGTAAAAAATCTATCTAATACAGAGAAAGATGTTGAATAAATCACTGGTTAACAGTGATCCTTCAAAACAATTTGACAAACGTTATTGCATTAGAGTCTGAAGTGACGGCAGAAATAATAGCAATTCGCATAAAGATGCAAAATCTGGTGTCATTTTGAAGTCAATAGTCTTCATATTGTTTTGAGGAATAACTATTTAAATGAGTCAGATTATTGTTTACAAGTAGAATTTGATCATACTAATAAAAATCTCAGTTATTAATTACAGCCACACGTCGAAACATCTTTATCTATAAGGCAACGCTTGCTTACACATTTTATTATTATTTATTTATTTGAACACATAAATATTGGTACAAAGGGGCACCAAATATATATGCGCCGCACAAATCTTATTTGATTTGTGTGAGGGCTGTAATACTACCCAGGTGCCCAAACTGAAGCTGGTGGTTCTCTCAGGTAGCCACACCCTGAGCCTTTGACCTAAAGAACTGGTCCACGAGGCAGTGGAGCATCGTAAAAAGATGCAGTCCCATGGTAGCCGGTGACCAACGATCGATTCATATGGTGTTTGTTCCCTCAGGATACCGGAGCTCATGTGCACCATTGGTTTGGAATCAGAGTTTTCCAACTCCCCTAGGTAGACTCGCCGTGTCCACCAACCCTGTTAAAGCGCTAGACATTCGCTTTTCGTCCTCTCAATTTCGTAAACAACACCGGTGCCACGAGAAGGCAGTGAGTAGAAATTCCCTGGCAGAGGCTATATATTCGTGTGGCCATGTGAGAGCATTTCAAGAGGGAGAGCAGACTCTCCCCACTCTAGGCCGTACCGGGGCATTTGGGGGAAAAAGTCAGGAATCCTAACCGCTAGACCACGCAGGACATATTTCAATAACGGTCAATACAATTACAACTTAATAAACTACATAAACATCATGACATAAATTATTTCCAAGGTTTAATCGAGTAATAAATCTGAAAACTATTTCCAGAACCATGAGTCAACCATTCTTTGAAAAAAAGTATACCGAACAAATAAAAACATGTCACACGATTCTATCAGTGTACACAACATAAGTTTGTATTTTGTGTCATTTATACTAAGTGATTTAGCTTTACTGTTAATGAGTTTAAAAGAACAGAATAAATGACAGTACAAAATTTGACATAACGATCAATGAAATCTATTCGTTGATATTGTCACAATTCATATCAGACGACAAATGTAATGAGCCACCACTAAAAAAACACTGAAAATATTTTGCGAGACTATAATTTATGGACGAGCCAATCAGATTCGTTTGAGAAATTTCAAGGTCACGGCGCCTATTTCAGTACCTGATGCTCGTGTACGATCGGTTCATAGAGAATTTTAGAGAAGATTTGACAGTTAAGCGGCTTCAACAAATCAAACTACTAAGAAGTTGCTGTATTTGTAATTACGAGTATTAAATGACTTGTAGACCTTATGCAGACTAACGTGTTGTTCTTCGATGTAATATATGTTGAAGGAAGACGTTTGCTAGAATAGGAACCTTTATCGTTCTATCCAGATTGAGACTAAGGCATATTATAATAATTGCCGCAAACTGTATATTAAAAGCACCAGTAACACTGGCTGCAATATTCGCAGATGTTACTGAAGCTTCGGCTGTGCAGTAGTATGAGTATTGTAGGGACATATCCATAATAAAAATGATAAACTTACACAACCGGAGTACACACAAACAATAATGAAGCTATGTGGTCCTGGCTGAGAGGGTTCTTATGACGTTATCATGGCTCCAGAGACCAACTATTATGGAGCCATATGGATGAGTTCCTCTACCTTATGCACTACGATTTTGGGACCTTTTTCTAACATTGACAAGTTTTTGGACCATATAAAAGAAGTGTATTTACTTTAATTATTTGGTTTTGTATAACATGTTTTTACTCAATGCTGACTGTTTACTGATTGACTAACCTTTCTCAAGGTCACCTAAGATTCGTTCAAAGGTCGTCCATAAATTATAGTCTCGCCAAATATTTTATGTAGAATAGATAAAATGTGGCTGGCAGTGGAATCTTGGAAGGACGTTTCATTCCATTTGAGACTCATCAACTAGATATAATTGCATCCCAGAGTTAATGTTTACTGTGGGACTCAATCAAATCCATTACAACACTTTAAAACGGCAATGAATTAATCACTTAGTTCTTGAGTCCCGATAGCCACTCAATTGTACATTGGAAATGAAATTGAATTTATTTCTTTATTGGTTTGAAATATCCTGTTGTTGATATTTTGATTAAAATTCGACCCATCATGGTTGGTAATATATACATCTTATGCCGACTGTTTTAATATCACTGCATTTCAACTATTCCATCTAAACTTGTATTGCAGTAAACGAGAATACGGGTGGGGACAGTCGAATGTATTTAAGCACAAATTACAGACTATTTCACTAAATTCTGATAACCATACAATCAACAGTTAGTTTGCAAAATAACAACCAAATATCTCAATCTTCACTATTCCTTCTGTAAATATCAGTTCATCTTCTCTAATTTCTTTTTTCATACATTTTCCTACCGATTGCGCTTCATTTCAGTTCTTTCCTTATCGGTCCTCTGCCAAAATACACTCAATGTCTGACCATCGCCATATACTACTTATATGGATATAATTAGACCACACTACAGTATCATAATGGCAATCCACTACGATAAATATATAGTAATCAAGATTGATCACATCTTAGTAAAAAAAAGGACCAACGACTAAATACTCTTAACCATTACTAATTAAACTGAAAACACTGTTAGAATTCATATCCTTCTATATAGCTCAACAACAACAAAAAACTGTTAAAATGATATCATTCAACTTTCGATTCAACTAATAATATTTAGTAAAAAAACCCCCAACTATTTCAATGTAGATAGGTACAACAAATAGGGAAATAGAATCCATATACAAAAATATACAAAATTAAATTAGAAAACTTTAATTTCTATTTTTCTTTATTTTTATAGAATAAAAAAACATTTTTTTTTAATTATTCAAATGATTAAATTGTTCCATCCAAATAATTAACCATTTTAATTCACCTTTATGAGGAAGTAAACGTTTGATAAAACTATTCACTGTTAAATGATATAACCAAAATCGATTGAAACCAATATTTATACATATACACCTAAATATTGCCTCTAAATTAATAAAATAAAATGATAATTATTAGAATAAATTAAATTAAATCAAATTATAAAAATAAATTAATTTTAGTAAAATAAAAAATATCAAATTTCTATAAATTAAATTATACATTGATCTTAGATAGACAACTATTGAGAATAAGTAAGCATTAGATAGCTATTCTGTCCTAGTATTGAACTACTCAATAGTGTAGATCCATGACTCCATTATAGAGGATTGAACCCAAGACTTTCGATCTCACATGCGAATGAATAACCTCTAGGCCATTGAATCAGAATTCAATGGTTTACATGTCTAATATCAATCGATTGGCGATATTGCTTGAGGTGAATAACTATTTTGAACCGAATCTATCAACAACTACTTTTAATATACAGAAACATGAAGTAAATAGATAAAAAACATGGTTGAAAGTTTCTATTATTGAATTGATTCAAACAAAAAATAATCATTATACGAGTAGAAACATCCCCAATATTAACTGTTTTTATATATGACATTTCTAAATAATAGAATTTCAGAGAAAGGTATTTATAATTGACTGATCATTAAACAGTGATCAATGTTATGTCTGTCTACTCCTTTGATACTGGTTGAATTCTGCTGATCGAGTAACAATGTAACTACTAGTTTAAATGACTTAACATTTTATGGACTATGTTAATATGTCAAGTGATTAGAGCATTCATTTATATCAAGGAACTTTACAAACACAGATGTACCCAATTTATATGTAAGAAGAGAATTGAATTTAAACACTTATGAATCAATGATGTTGCTAGTAATATTCATTTAAACTATGTGTTAGTTGATTTACATAGTCCGCTTTACAACTAAATATCTTCATTAATGTGCGTTTTTGAAATACGGTATAAAGATCGATGAATCATTAGTAATTTCAATTTACTTCATCTCTATCTACACTTAATGCTTGAGATTTCCTTTTCTGCCTCTGATAAGTCCGTTTCATGTCTCCATTACTGATTTAAAATCATGTTTGTATATGTCATGATTATGTGAAAAACTGATCCCGTAAAAAATAATTATTTACTAAATCAATGACTTTTAATTGATGTATCGTAATCAACTTGAGACTTAACAAATAGTATTTACTATAGTTGAAAGCGTGAGTCAATTGAAGCTAGACCACCATGGAAAACCTGGAAACACTGGACGGCCGTTTCGTCCTATTATGGGACTCCTCAGCAGTGCGCATCCACGAACCCACTCTCGCGAGCGAGATTCGAACCAAGGACCTACCAGTCTCGAGCCGAAGCTCTTAACCGATAGACCACGGTGTTAATGTCTAACTTCAACTGATCCACGATAGTATTTACACACTTTCATATGACTGAAAACTAGTGCACACTATAACACTGTAGTCTGAGTAAATTATACAAATAAAAGAAATATTATAGGGAAGAAAACAATGTGCTTTTTTTGTAGTTCTTTTATTTTCTTATTCATCTAATTAAATATGCTCACTAGCGACTGACTATAAGGAATGTTTCCTTGAGTTCTAGAGGGAAGCAGTAACCAGTGGAGTACAACCACGTCTGTTGTAGAGATATCAACTCACTGAAGACAATTGGTGAACGGTTGCTCAACTTTGTGGATCAGTTGAAGTTAGACATTAACACCGTTGCATGTCGGCTCAGTGGTCTGTGGGTTAAGTGCTCCGGCGCGAAGCTGGTAGGTGCGGGCGGGATCATGGATGCGCACTGGTGAGTAGTCCCATAATAAGACGAAACGGCCGTCCAGTGCTTCCAGGATTTCTATGGTCGTCTAGCTTCAATTGACTTATGATTTCAATTATGAAAATACTGAAATATCCACGAAAAACCCCTTCTAATTAAATAAACTTTGAATATTTACAGAAGACAGGTTGATCTAGTGTGTGGGCTTGTTTTCACAGTATTATTATTATTGTTATTATTATCCTTGTCTCTTCTCACTCCCCCATTTCCAGTCTAGTTGACTTTTTATTTCAATATATAAATGTTCTTAACAAGCATATATGTGATTAGATTGTTCAAAATGTATTGCGCTAATATATCACATGGTTCTAATAATCTTCGTCTTCTTATTACACTAACGAAATTGTTGAAAATAAATATTATTTGAATGAATCATCAGTATGTAAATGTATCATATGGAATGGATGAATCATAGCAACTAAAATTTTAAACATACACAATCAAATGTAAGTTCTATTAATTCAATGGAGCAAAATAACATTTTTTTAAAAAGAAAGACATGAATTTATTAGAAGAAACAGTGAATTGAACTTTGTTTTAGATACTCGGCCTGAATAGCTGCGGTTATCCGTCCATTTTTTAAATGTTTGCTAGGAATCGGGTGTCCAATATTTTCCGGTCCACTTAGTGAGTGAGAATGACAAATAATAATGTAATTTTTACTAGGGGTTCCATTTCAAGCACCTAAAGTTATACTTACCTGTCTGCTATGAATGCGTCAGTGTAGCGCATCCTAATACAGACACACGAAGAAAACTAAATATGGTGAAAGCTAGATTTTCAAATGAAGTCATCTCCGATGAAAGATAAAGTGTTATACGAAGCACGTACGCAAACACCTGAAAATTCTGAATACCGTAAACTAATTGAAAATTGTAAAATGCATGGTTATTCTTAGTAATCATGAACCTCAATGCTAGCCAATACTGAAGTGAAAAGTTGGTTACACACGAAATACTAAAAAAAATCGTAGACAGGGACAGCTTCATCCCATAAAAAATTAGTCTATAAAAATTTCATTTCGTATAACTAACTATATTGTCAACTCAAAAAAGCGATTCGTTTTAAATATTACAAACAGTATTACGAATTGAAAAATGTTAACATTTTTTTAGATATGATCATCTTGTAGTTTAGTTCAAACTGAAGCTTAGAAAATTATTAACTAAAATAAATTATAAGGGACAGTTTTATGAACTTTTAGTATGAGGTTGTGGAAATTGTTGAGTTTCATTGAAATCATGAACCGATCAATGTCAAAATGGTTAGTTCGTTTCGGTTACAGATCAGCCAGTGACTCTTTGAATACGAAAATCAGATTTAACCATTCTAACCAGTATGGATCCAACAAATCACAATAGGACAGAGTTGGACTGTTTATTAACAACTTTAAATGTATCGAATGAGACTTTTTTAAACAAGTCAACTATTTTGAAAAATACCTCTGAAAGACTGGTATTTCATGCAGTTGTTTCACTACATAATTTTCAATTAAGCAAGAACGACAAATGATTTCATTGTATTCTGTAATCACTGTTATTATAACCCTATTCGTGTACTGGAATATACAGTCATTTAATAAAATGGCATTCAATATTCAACTAATCACACACCATGCTTTCCTTAGCGAAAGCTTTATGAAAAGAAAACATCATACAACTAAACTTATGTGAGGCGAGAAAAAATGATGAAAACACCTGCCTAAGTCAAAAAATTCGTTGCCGATATTAAGTTAATGATTAAAACACAAGTAACGATCATGAAGTACATAGAGAACGTATAGTTAGTTACGTTTATGAACTGAAATAAAGCTAGAACATTTGGGACAGAACAATATGAATTGACTTTATTTTATGGTCTCTTTATCCACTTACAAGCGTATTTGCATGGGAATATAGCATTGAATTATGATATAATTAGAGGCAATCCACATTGATGACGTGTATAAAGTTGGGAATCATAAACTTATGTAAACTTTCAAATCTTCGGTAGTTATTACTTAATCCATCTTTCGATTTTTTTTAATGCTATGTAATTGCTGCTTCACCTTTTGTAGGTCTTTAATGTTCATCTTCAGATAACCTTGCCTATGTTTATTCTCACATATACATAACTGATAAGCATCGTGTATTATCATAACTTAATGTTACACCCGGACACAAATACACTTGTAAGTGCGTGAAGAAAGACCATGAAATAAAATCAATTAAGATTGTTCTACTTAGTTGTTGTTTAGACCTTAATCAACAAAAAAGATGTAAACTACTGATTGTTCAGTTAATTACTGAAAGTTCTTGTGATTATTATCAATGTTTGCTTATCCGAGCATCCTCATCGGTTCAGTTTTTGTTCAGATTTAAATTTGAACAAAAACATTATTCTAATGGGTTATAGAATGTAATCAGTTATTTACATGAAACAATAACGAACAATATCAGATAACTGGAGTGAAATCGAAACCTGGTCGGTAGTGAGGTTCTATTTGTTCAGTGATCTGAAAGTTGTTTGTTTGAACCATACTGAAGCTCATGTTTTCTTTTAACTTGACTTATCAATTCAAATGCGAAAATGTATATCTCCAGATAATAGATATTATAGAGAGCGAGAGTTTATTCACACAGTATTTGTTAATTATGAATGAAAAAATAAGAAGTATGAGAACATTTATATGGGATTTGTATTTACGATACCTATCTACGACTTATCGATAAGAAAGTTTATTAGCTTTATCTAATGTTCATACAATTACGCCAACTCTAAACATTATTGTTATGTAATAAATAATATAAGGGTCACTTACATAAACCTATTTTAAAACGAATTGAATCAATTTCGATTTCTTGTGTTTTGTGATATGAAGAAGAATTTTCATGTTACTTGAAAAGGGGAAAAACCTTTTGTCATAATAGAACATCAATTTTTCGCTTACTTGCTAGTCTTCGAGATGTCGAAGGTTGAAGTAATCTATCTTTTTCCGGTGACGTTTTCAAAGATATCCATACAATATCAGCTATTTTGTTGCCTAATCGATTAGCGTTTATTTGTAACAAATAATTAGTTTTTCGGATACTTTCATTTTTACAAATAAATACATTTTGCCTAATGTTAGTATTATAGATTATCTTGTGGAAAGTGAAGCGCCAAGTTGGACAATGAAGACGAAATTTACATAATCGTCGCATACAATCATTGGCTGATAAAGATTGACCAGAAAATCGACAAAATTTTGCTAAGAGTTAAATAAACATTCAAAGCACAACATAAACAATAACAAAAAATATAGTGAAAGACATAAACTTTACATTACTATTATTATTTGATTCGAACAGAAGGGTAAAGTAGAAATGACAAACAATGAAAGCTATGTTTTGGGACATTATTTCGCTTAATTCGACGTCTGTATAGTGTTAAGATTTGGTTTCATATCTGCTTTACTCTATAGATCATAAGCTTTCGTTTGATGAATAAGCTACTCTCATACTCTCTTCTATTCCAAAACTATAGTAATTTAAACGAGACCTTTGTATTCCGTTTATTCTACTTGAATGACCTAGCTGAATGTACTTTACTCATTTCTTGTGTATTGTCATCCTGTTAGTCACATGTTTGCTTAAGTTTCTTTTTCGATTTAGCTGAATCATAAATAAATTGTACATAGAATTCCAGCTAGATCATCTATCCGCTCACCAACCAATCATATCATTGGTTAGGAATAGGATAGTTTCTTTATCTTTGTCCTCAAGGACGCCCAATCTTAAGTCGAGCTCACGCGTTACAAGTCTCGGAATTTTACTAAGTGATAAAGTGCGTCAAGGTCGTGCGGTAGATCAAGACAACTCTTTTACTCCTGCTTTTTGAGAATGGATTAGTGGACATACAGATCAAGATCGTAACATTATTATTACTGTGTTCCAGTAATGGTTGTATGTAAGGTATTATTGAGATAATGATGAGTAAATTTCCGTATCGTTGTTGTTGTCGTCATCATTATATAAAGAAATGAACACAAATTTTGACAAATAACTAGACTGAATCAATTGCCCACTCATCAGAGTAGTAGCTTAGTAGAAACTCAATCCCACCTGATAAGTAATTCTTATTATAAACTGATATCGGCTGATTGGAGAATACATTGAACACTAGGCACAAGCACTGGTATTATAATCTCCATAACAACTATAAGTCATGTATTTGGATTCGTTGAGTGGTGATGAGGGAGCTGCTCATGCTTCTTTTTTTACAGAATTCCAAATTAAAGCAAAAAACCCTGTGGTCATTACTTTTTGTTTGATGTCGATTTGTGGTAAAAGATAGTTTTAAACTGTTTACATTTAAAATTTTAGCAAACACCTGAATAAACTAGTAAATGGATGTTAAAGTGATGTTATGTTAATTAGAGATGAATTTAAAAACTTACGTGGACTGTTGTTTTTGGGTAAAGTTATTGTTAAACTAGAATGTACTTCAATCCCAAGCCACTTTATAGGAACATCTATATCATACAAAGAAAAAGGATAGATCTTTTCATATTAAAAACAACTGATTACAACATAATGGATACATGTCTCTTAAAGTAAGACTTTTCCCTTTATACAAAATATTATTATTAAGATAATAAAGATAATGAAGAATAATGTTATATGGATCAGTTATAAAGAACTAGAGACTAGAAACATGGTATTAGTTACTGATTAGTGATTAATCCATTGTAAATATATCCCTCCTACAGGAGGTCGGTAACGGCTCAAATGAATGATGTGTGCGTGTGTGTGTGTACAAATTTCTATATTTGTAAATCAGTCAATAAATTATTCTATTTCTTGATTACAAAAATAAGGACTTAGATAACACTGCACATTATTCAAACTATTCTTAAAGGTCGTTCATAATAATCACGATATGATATATTGATCAATATCAAAGGTATAAACAACAAATCACAATAAAGCTCTTCGTCGAACGTATATATATATATATCAAGTAATCACTTTTACTTTACCTTATGAGCTAAGCATCGACAATGATCATTCTTATGATAACTAGGTGACTAATTTGAAGATAGATTTACACACACAAAAATTGATACACATTTTTCATTGACCTATTTTTCATAATGATAATTTTTCTAATAGAAATGAGTTGGAGAAGAAAATAAAACGTAGAGATTATTTTTAAAAAAATATTAGAATCTTTCAACTTTACTTGGATCATATAAATTAGTTTGCGATTTTTGTTCGTTCAATAATAATCCATAAGAATTAAGTGCTGAAAACAAGAAAAAGAAAATAAAGAGAAATACATTGAGTACCTATATTCAATTGAATAAATTATGATGTAATATATATACAGTGATAAATTAATTTTTCTGATGAAATCAAATCCTTTATACAAGCTACATTTCATATTGATTAAGATCAGGAGGGGTTTTCTGGATAATAATAATAATAATGATCATGTGCTCACTAGTGACTGGCTCCATGAGGTATTTCCTGAAGTTCTAGTGGGAAGCAGTAACTAGTGGAGTTCACCCATGTCTGTTGGGAGATATCAACTCACTGATGACAATGGTGAATGGTTGCTCAATTTCGTGGATTGGTTTAAGTTAGACATTAACACCGTTGGATGCCGACTCAGTGGTCTAGTGGTTAAGTGCTCTGGCGCAAGACTGGTAGGTTCTGGGTTCTAATCTCGCGAGGCTTGATCGTAGATGTGCACTGCTGAGGAGTCTCATAATAAGACGAAACGACCGTCCAGTGATTCCAGGTTTTCCTTGGTGATATAGCTTCAATTGACTCATGATCTTAACTCTATTAATTAAAAGTTAATTGATTTTAACTAAGTCTTGATTATTGATGAAATATTAAATATATAAAAAAAGTATAGTGTTGATCACTGATTGATTGATAAGCGGTTGTAAAAATATATATGACACTAAGTTTATAAGTAAATGTTCAAATATTAATAATGAGTAGTATCATTATATCTCAGTATACTATTGAACATGAGTAAATCTATAACCAACTTAAATAATTTATTGGTCAACGAATATACAAGGTGATTACGTTAAGTCCAACTAAATAAAAAATCTTGAAGTGTGAATGTATATAGAGTTTTCACATTGTTTACGTATTCGGCAAACAATTGAGAACAGATAGAAAATGATAACATTCAGTTAGTTTCTAAAGCATTTCGAATTATATGGATAGAAAACTGAACAGTTTGATATGAACTAGGTTGAAAAAGCAATATTTATGTATAGCTGAATTGTAGCTGCAGTTATTTTAATTTTGGAATCATTGTAATTTCGACTGACTTTCATAAGTACATAAGAGTTAAACCTAATCCTGTCAATTCGATAAAGTGAAGGACTGACTAGTTATTAATCAGTTGACAAAGACTTAAACTTTAAATTCACATTTGTATATAGACATGATATTCATCATGACTGGTTAGGTCAAGTGTCTCAGTGGACCGAGTATAGTGAATCTATAATATTACCATTATCTACTTCAAATGCTATTTATTTGAATTCACGTACCATCTATTTTATTGTCAAAATGTTCTATTAACTTTGGAGAGAACAAAAATAAATCATCCACATTTTAAAATCCTATGATTAGCTTATCTTTACCCAGAATGTAATTCATTTATCAAGTAACCCGCTTTGAACCGCACCATTTTTATGTGTTTGTGATATTGGAATATCCTTTCTAATGATAAGAAAATAGAGTACTCTATAAAACCAGTCGACCGCCATAGTTTTCATGGATTTGTTTCCTTTATGAAAATTTAAAGATAGTGCAGATGTTTATTTGAAGGGGTTTCGTGAGGATCAGTTTAATTTGCAAACTTTACTTACTCATCACAGGTGGGATACCAGTGAAAACCAAGAAATATTGAAAACATTTTTCATCCTAGTATGGAACTGCTGGGCTCATCGGTGTACACTCTTAGGGAGTCCCATGCTAGGACGAAACAGCTATTCGGTGATCCAATGGTATCACAATTGGGACTATTAAGTTGTGCATACAAACTAACTATGGAATATGAATGTATCAAATCTAAGGGAAAATCGATGATTTGATGATATCAACTAGATCCTAACTCGTTAAACACACTAAATAAACAAACAGGAAAATTAATAATAAATAACTTAACTCTCTACTCAATTTATTTGAAGCTATCAAGTCCAACCATGTTATTTATACCTATAAACAGGAAAATTAATGAATGATCAGATTAAAACAAAGGATTATTGTCGGAATGGAGGTTTGTAGAGGTTGTAGTAATTTAATAGTTGAGTTCATGAGTTGATCTAGACTACACCGCTATGAAAAACCTGGAAGCACTTGGAGGCCGTCCTAGCATGAGACTCCTCAGCAGTGAACATCCACCAAATAAAATATTCAAAAACCACAGAAGAAAAACATTTTATCCATAACAGTGAATATTTCTCACAAGTTTTTATTCTCTTTATTAAATTTTGTAATTCAATTTTAGAAGTTGATATACACAGATAATCGTCTAAATAACGTAGAATAGTTGAACATTTATTTAAATGAATATCTGATGTTTTAAATATATCATTTTGTAGGAATTTATGAGGAGACCAAAGAATAGTTTTTGTTCTATATAATTCACGATCCAATTGAGCTAAATAGATATTAGCCAAATCTGAACTAACGCACGATCCCTGAGGAATACCTTTGATAAACGAATATAATTTTCCATCAATCTGTTAATAGATTTTGTTTAAAAAAATATCAAAAATTATGTGTTTATTCATATACATATAATATAATTGTTACAAGAGTATGATTGCACTTTGTTCACTTATCTCAAATTTTTATCATTTACACTAGCTTGAACATAAATTTCGCAAAGACCTAATGGATAACCGTAATTTTTGGGGTTCACCATCTGGGTGGGTTGAAATAGTAAACTATTCCTTTATAGAATAAATGATTTATGCTTTGCAATAAGATCCAAGAACGGTGTTTCATTCGATTTAGGATCAGTCAGCTGAATGTAACTCCAACCCAGTGTTGATGTTTACACTAGGATTTTTCACTTTGAACACTAACGCTTTATTCACTGAATGGTGGAGTTCAGATAGCCAATAAACTATTTACTAGGTATAATATTGATAGTTATTAGTAACTATTTGAATAGACCCGTTAGCTTTAGAAAGAGAAGTACTGGGTTAGAGTCTCGATTCGAACATTGTCACGGATTTAGGCACAACCAGCTGACGAGTCCTGAGTAAGAGGAAACGAATATCGTGAATTTCGCTTTCAGCCACAACATACCTATCCTATAGTACTCGTAATGAAAAACGCTTTATTCTTATGATCTACTCTTACATTTAACGATGTAAATAATTATTGGCTTGTGATAGGATTTTCTTATCACATAGACACTTTTTATAATTTAGCGATGATGAACTTTTTACGTTAGTATACATTATACATGAACATACTACTTAAAATTGAAATTACAATAAACAGGTAACATTTTGAAATTAATTTTGATAAAGAACTAATGTCAGTCAGGCAAGCACAAAAATTCAGGGAGTTGTAGTAATATCAAGAAAAGTGAGGAGTGAAGTAGTAATTCAGTTATGATAAGTGATAACAAAAATAAACACTGTTGAATTATGATTGTTATAATCTCGCCACAGCATCTGTTGTTCGTGAGATGAGTTCAACAAATGGCATAATCTTGAACTATCGAGTTCTAAATAAGGATGTAACAACTGTCTAAGTGTTATAATCATGGAACCTAGTGCTTGAAATAGGAAGACACTGAGATTTTGCACAAAGTAGGAAAGAAAACAAAACCTGATGGTAGATAAAGATTTTAATGCACTCATCAAAAACACAACAACTACATTTATAAAACAGATTCAATTGTATACAGATTCTATTGACATTTGATCATTAGTCATAGAATATCAACTTAAATTATAAGGACTAACTGGACTTCACACTGAAGTTATACGACCGTATGTTATAATGAGTGAATATCACACTGAATTCATACAAACGATGGTAAACTGAATATATATCGTAATGACTTCAAACATAATTTCGTTTTTTACACTGTCCTAACACTAATAATTGCTGACATTCAATGACTTTACATTAACCAACATTATTTCGTCATGCTGTTTACCTTAAAAACACGAAATTAACATTCAAAAATCTACTTCACTATCTTTAAAAGGAACAAATATACGCATCAAATAACTTTATTAGAACTATTATTATTAATACTAACAGTAAATCGGTTATAACATACAGAAATAATGGATTCTTTTAAAAACCATTCCAATTCACGAACAAGGAAATGTATATGTGGTGTTGGATACATATAATTGCTGACCTTGAAAATGAAGGAAATGTATAAAGTATAGCGTCATTTTCACTATATTCGTAAATGATATAGTACTGTTTATACAAGGTATTTGTCTTAACAGGATACTATCGAATAATGAACCCGTGTTAGAAAAAAAGCTGAACATAATCAAACATAGATTGTTGATACTACACGAATAGTTATTCATTAGTAAAATGTGCAAGACCTTTGTGGATTTGTGCCAGCTATGTCACGAGTGAGACGTTTATCTTCCTATCAAAGGCTAAATATGCCTAATAGCAGTTCTTTCCATACTAATTTATATGTGTAACACATTGTTTATGAGAAAATAAATAATCTGTTAGCTTTCCCATAATAGACATCGAAATATAGTTTGCATAAGATCAAACAAGTAATCGATGTTGATGTTAGATGTAATGTATAAAGAAAACTGCTGAGTGTTACACCACTTCATAAAGTGCTTTTAGTTCACAAAGTTAGCTTCTGATGAACTGAAACATATAGGGACGTGTAAACGTCTAGACTGAGATTAAAACACAATGCTATTCCGTGATTGTAGACTTCGGGTGACAACGACAAAATTGCATTTAGTTCTCTATTTTTTTAATTTTAATGTCAGTTCATGGTTGTTATACTACGCTTTTATTTCATTCTCTATATTCAGTTTGCCAGTACCATTGATATCGTCGTTATCATTAGAATCTAACTGCTTCTGATTTGATCCTGGTTAATTTTTCTGAAAGTGTTATATTTTGAACAGAAACATTTACACTTTAAAGCGGCCTGCTTGAACATCTGGGCTACCTGTTCCCGCTATCTAGATATTTCAGCAACTTGTCTAATTTTGTTTGTTATAATACATCATGATGGCTATTACTCTCATAACCTATTCAGGTGCGTTTCTGAAAAGTGTACAAATTTTCGTTGTAAGAGTTACAAAAGCCCAATCAGAGATATCGTGGTTGCTGGCAATATGCAGCGAAAAGAATGTACATTATTCAGTCGTCAATTGACTGGACTGATAACTTCTAGCTGGCGACCACTCAATATTTGTCGTCAAGATCGATCAAGAAGTAAGAAACGGGAACTTGTTGAAAGACATTGTTCCGAGAATTCTATATTGAACCAAAATAATAGTACTGAATAAAGTTAATGATAATAATTAAATAAATGTTGTTTACTAACTGACCAAACAGACAATAAACTAGAAGGAAGCCAAAAATATCTTTAAGCATCGTAATGGTGTGTCAATGTAGTGAATATTTTAAATAATCTGACCGTAAACTCTACATAGCAACGAAGCACATTCAAACAACATAGTAGATTTTGAAAATACAAAGTATTAAGAAGCGTGAGATGTGTGGTAGGAAAAAGAGTAACGGGTTTGGATATCATACATAAAAAGACTTCTGAAGAATACTAAAGCAGGTTTAAGGTGAGAATAAGGTTTATGAATAGGATGAAGTTCCCTTAGAATCATTCTCAATGTCTATCCAACGATCGATTCCTTTGTATGATTACATACCGAAAGCAATGCTTATCGTGTAACTATACTCATCAATAAAGTGTCATATATTCTAAATTATTATCACTATGTGAACTAAAACATTGCTACATATTAAAGTGTAATATAAAATTAATGTTTGCCATTTCGCACCGAGTGTACTCGTGAATACAAATAGACACATACAAAATGGGGAGATAATTAGATGCAACCAACAATTTTAAAAGATATGACTAAAAATCATCAAGACCAAATGAAAACTTAGACTTGAATAACTAAACACAAATAGTTGACAAACATAATTATCTACTGTCAAAAAAGCACAGTTAAAAGAGTTCATCAACAAAAGACCTGGTACGGCCGAGAGTGGGGAGAGTCCGCTCTCCCTCTCGAAATGCTCTCATATGGCCACGCGAATATATAGCCTCTGCCAGGGAAGTCCTACTCACTGCCTCCTCGTGGCACCGGTGTTGTTTACGAAATTGAGAGAACAAAAAGTAAATGCCAAACGCTCTAACCGGGTTGATAAATCTGGAAGATCCATCTAGAGGAGTTAGGAAACTCTGATTCCAAACCAATGGTGCACATGGGCTCCAGTATCCTGAGGGAACAAACGGCATGTGAATCAATCGTTGGTCTTCGGCTACCATAGGACTCCTGACGATGCTCCACTGCCTTGTGGACTAGACCTTCAGGTCAAAGGCTCTGGGTCTGGCCCCATGAGAAAACCACCTGCTTCAGTTTGGGCACGTGGTCAGTATCACAGCCCTCAAACAAATCAAATGAGATTTGTGCGGCGCATATATATCTAGTGCTTTCTTGTACCAATATTTATGTGTATAAATAAATAAAATCGTCAACAAAAAACCCTGAGAAACCTTAGAAAACGGTACAAATGCATTCTTGAGCTTTCATGTAAGCTGTAACTTTGAACCTGTCTTGATAATGTTAACAATCCTTTCCCATTATTATTCTCAATAAAATTGCACATTATTTTAATCAATTATTACTCAACTATCAATATTATTTTAAACATTCTATTAATTTTCACTTACTTCATTTAAAGTATCAGAGAAAACTTTTAATAATTTGGAATGGTTAATTTGATTAAAAAAATCCAAAATATCTAATTTAGCAATCCAAAATCTAAAAAACACAAAAGAAATTAATAATAGAAAATATGAAACATCCTAAGAACTCTATTTATATACAAAGTACATTTACAGTCCAATGTTATTTTTTCTCCATCTTTTTTTATGAAACTTAAAAAATTTAAGACCACATTAAATAGTCATAAAATTAAAACTGTATATTTCTACATTTGAGCATTTGTGTCTGAAGTACAAAAAAGACGATTCTGTTGCTTTTTTTTGTTGTTGAAAAAACTAACTTAGACTTTCGATTCAGTAAATTCGTTTTTATTTTAGAATTTCATTACTTCTGCTTAATATATTACAATAGTATTGATATTAATACTATTCCCACTACTATGGTATTTGTCCTGGTATCTCCATCTCACTGTGCTGAGATAGTATGTCAACTTTAAGTGATGCATATACATGCAAGATCCTACGTTGTTGATGACTAACTCTGACTAATAGAAATAAAGATATAAGATTTATTTATTGATAGTATGAGAATATGGTGAAAAAGTCGATTTTCCAGATATCTATAAGTGGTTATAATACATCAAACGACCAATTTTTTTTAATAATCTCAATATTCAGAGGACTATCCAAATACTTATAAATAACTATTGAAATTATTTTCAATAAGTTGTAATTTAGTGTTTATAATAAATGATTTGTAGTAATCGATATCTGGTCTCACTAAAACAACCATTGAAAAGCAGGAAACGAAGGAAAAATGGGATACCTAATTAGTGTGCAACCATGTCAGTCTGTCACGACGTAGAACCTGGTACATATGTACATCGATTCAAGTTACTAGTCTTAAATCAAGGGTAAAATACATAACAATCACGTCTGACAAACGACAATGAGAAATATCGAATCAACAATCTAATTTAGGCGGAAATATTAGAGATTATGAAAATAATTGATAGTTATTTAATTCTCAAAGTTGACATCATGCCTCGCATCGCAGAATGTTCATATTCATACAATTTTCTGTTGTTGATTTTGATATTTTACGGCCTATATTTCAGGGTTACTATTCAAGGGTTGCCTGGAAGTAAAAGCATAACTATAAAGATTAAGCAATTTATCATATCCATGTTTTATGTATAAGAGTTAAGACATCGAAAGAACTTAAAAACCACAGTATAACGGATTTTTCAATTTTGACTGAGTTGAATGCATTTGTATTTCGAGTGGTTCAGAACGGCTGAGGGCGTAAAGAGTCTAAGCACCTCTCGAACTGCTATCTTACAGTCACATGTTTAAAGCCAATATCAAGGAAGTCCTACTAATTGACTTCTGGCAGAAAGGATGTTGTTAATTAGATTGAAAAGAAAACCGCACGTCAGACATTTAAACCGTGTTGATGGCTGCAGAGGATGCACCTAAGAGAATCGGGAAAATTTGATTTCAAACCAATGGTGCACATAATTTCTGTGACCCTGAGAAGCTGAATGGCTTACGAATTATGTTTGGTGATCGGTTACCATGAGATTGGATGTCCTGACGCGGTATCACTGTCTTTTGGAGTAGACGTAGTAAGCAAGATGAAACAAACAATGAAATCTATGTTTTTCGTGTTTATTATACTTAAACAGTAGTTTTAGTAATTTAGTAAATAGATTATTTTCATTTATCTAGACAAACCTTAATCATTATATAAAACTGGCTTAAAATTGGTCGTTTTTTGGAAGATATTCAGCATATATGTACTGAATTTCGAGATACATTTCTTCTTACATAAAAAACTGGTGGTAGTAAACAGTTATTTAGACGAAGGTTAACGACACAAGAAGAATCGAAACTACGACTTTCTGATTAGAAGTCAAGTGGTTTACATAGTAAACTACTATTGTATAATGTCCGAGGGTAAGCTATTTGAAAAATTTGTTGTTTTTGGACATTTTGAAGAAAGTTCAATTGCTGAGGGTATTCCAATGTCTGTCCTATCAAGGAATAATGTAATATATATTCAAAATACATTGATTGAAACAATCCAACATATATATATATATATATATATATATATATATGATTGATTGATTTAGTTTAAAGGCACATGATCAGACTATTTTCATTCGATACAATAATAAATCCCAAATGTAATTATTATTCTTTTTTATTTTCTAAAGCATTCCTCGTCATGGATGTAGGTCAGTTAAGATTTACACATGAGATAGGATTCAAGAAATAACTTTAGATTTTTTTTTAAAAACAACAAATAAACAAATCAGCCAAGTAAACAGTAACCAAATAAGAAAAGTGAACTAATAGGTGATAACATCAAAAAACGAAATTGGACAAAAAGGTTTTGAAAATAATAATTCATAACTATGTACTGTAAAATGTTCTAAGTTGAGTAAATACAATAGTTATGAGGTTCTGTAAACATACATATACATTCCTATCAAATCCCCGGCTGACTATAAGTGACTGTAACAGACAAGAGTTTTTTCAGATAAAATATGTATTCAATCTATCTGTGCGAAATAAAATACCATTTCATATCAAGGTGTCAACAAAAATTTGCTCTGTTTTATGTAATCATAGCATAAAAATTCTTCTCAAAGTTATACAATAATCATACATAACACAATTTGCGTTGCGCACTGATCTTAGCCAGATAATCGCAGAAAACCAGCAATCAATGTCAAGCTGTTTTGTCCTAGCAGTGGGCATCTTCGACTCAACTGCAGACTTAATCCAGCATATTCAGGTTATGCAGCGAGCGTTTAAACTTTAAACTAGTTCTCTGCCATTCAATCGTTAACATGTCTAACATTAATCGATTTGAGAAATTGTCCAATTGATGACCAATGATATCAGTGGATAATTCCTCATACCAGTGATGTAAACTATGAAATTTACGAATTCTCCACAAATCCCCTACGGTAATATAAATATATTATTTTAAGCCAAACGTAACATAAAGGTAAGTTACCAGTATTTAACTTACCGACGAAATCCTATTGAATAAACAAGTGAACGAAATGATAACAAAGTGTTAAATGCAGATTTTGTCGATAATAAAGATGGTGCATAAATACCTGGTAACTGAAAATAAATCAAAATTTTGAAAAAAAGTGTCAAGCTTGGTTAACTGTTGATTAATTTGGCATGTGAAATAAAAATTGTGGATAATCAAAGTAATTAAAATTAATTTGAGAATTGCTTGTTTTTGAAGAAAAAGGAATAAAGTTTTGAAGAACAGACAAGTAACATTATTCAGAAACATTAGTAAAAATAGTAATGAATTTTAATTGCTGATAGCGTAGCTGTAAATATTTGGAATAGTCATGTTTAACAGACATAGTTGATGATGAGCATAGGGAAGAAACCGATAGTACGAATGGGTTATACTAAATAGTCTTTAAAAAAACCCACTAAACTCGTCTGAAATTTAGCTGGCAACGTGCAAATAAACTTTGAGGATATGGAAAAGGCACTAATGGATAGAAAACCATGACACTGGTCACCAATTGAGGTCAATCAATGAAAATATCTCAGTTCAACATGGGGTCGGTGATGATATCTTAGACTGTGAAGCTGGATGACTAGGAGTATTGATATTCTGGAGGTTTTGAGAACGTCTTACTGACGAGTGACAACTGGTATGGAAGTCCAAGTTCTTCTGCCGACTAATTCAAACCACCTAACATCAAAGGCGAGTATAACCAAATATTTACAATATTTGTCATAAACGGAACTATCAGAACGATCGAAAATTTCATTGTACGATCTGAAGACATTTCAGGGATAAATAATCAGAAATAAGCCTGTAAAATTGTAGCACCCGTCGTTGATTGTGTACTAAAACACAAGACCGTTAACTACCAATGTAATAAAAGACTGATAAAGAAGGCCAGTACAGAACAAAATTCACTTTTGCAAAAGTGGTTTCATTGGTGTTATGTACGATTCGTTAGTAGTATTCACCATAAAGCTAACGAACGATTCCATTGACGAATGATTACTATTTGCAGATAAATTTTACAAAGTTCTGACTAGGAATGTGTATTTGCACAGCTAGTCATTTGACAAGTAAGATAATGACTTATGAATAATGTTGGATTACCATTGTACAATAACGCGAATCAGCAGTAAGTAAATGAATAATCTAGACCATTTTAAAGATATTACGCATACTGGAAGATTTGTAAATACTATATTTAATTTAATATGAAGAAAAGAGTTCATATTTCTAAGGAATTTCAAACTAGAACAAAACAATCAATGTTAATTATTGGATTAATGAAACTTTTATTCATTTCCCTCGTTGAATATTCTAACAATAATGTTTTTTATTATACATTAAAGAAGTATATGATTCAAGTTCTTGTCAACCAACAACAAAAATCAGAATTTTCAATAAAAATTTCAAGACAGTTCTACTGTGTGGGGCGGAGACGTGGAGAACTACGAAAGCCATCATTCAGAAGATAAAAGTGTTTATTTACAGTTGTCTATGCAAGATACTTCGGATTCCTTGGCCAGACATCATCAGCAACATTCTACTGTGAAAAAGAACAAACCAGATTTCAGTGGAGGAAGAAATAAGGAAGAAGCGCTGGAAGCGGATAGACCACACATTGAGGAAATCACCCAAATGAGTCACAAGGCAAGCCCTCACATGGAATACTGAAGGTCAAAGGAGAAGACCAAAGAACACATTATGTCGAGAAATGAAGACAAACATGAGAAGAATGAACAAGAACTGGATAGAACTAGAAAGGAAGGCTCAGAACAGAGTGGATTGGAGAATGCTGGTCGGCGACCTATGCTCCATTGGGAGTAACAGGTATAAGTAAATTAATTAATTCAGTGAAACTATATTGTATTTTAATAAATAATGAAAAAGAGAAGAACAAAACAAACCAAAAATGATATAACTTACAACTTACTTCAATTTTTAATTTTTTTAAAAATTCAAATAAACCATTATTTAATTTTAAACGTTGATTAAGACTTAAACAAGATTGAATTGAATATTGAATATTTGAATTGAATTCAATTTGATTAATTAAATTCTTTATAGATGATAATAATAATTGATAATTAGCATTAATAACTAAACGAAAATCTTTTCTTAAAGGTTTCATAGATAAACGTCCAATACTATGTGTTAATATATAAGTTTTATTAATATATTCATTTGAATAAAATAATGATATTGAATTATGATTAATTTTATTCTCAATGATATTACTTTTAATTAAATCTAAATTAAAATGGAGAGAAAAGAAGAAAATAACGACGTTAAATTTCGAAAGGTATATAGTTTAATGTATATATCGATTGATTGAATTGATAGTTATTCAAGTGGATTCTAATGATAGATTTAAACTACGAGATTTCAGTATTTTCATAGTTTAAATCATTAGTCAATTGAAGCTAGACCATCATGGAAAGTCTGGAAGCAGTGGATGGCCGTTTCGTCCTATTGTGGGACTCTTCAGCAGTCCGCATCCACGATCTCGCCTCGTGAGATTCGAACCCAGGACCTACCAGTCTCGCGCCAGAGCACTTAACCGACAAACCATTGAGCCTGCATCCAACGGTGTTATTGTCGAATTTTAACCAATCCACGAAGTCTGAGCAACCGTTCACCAATTGTCTTCAGTGAGTTGATATCTCTACAACAGACGTGGTTATACTCCACTGGTCACTGCTTCCCACTAGAACTCCAGGAAATATCTCTTGAAGTTTAGTGCTTGCAGGTTTTCCATGGTGGTCTAGCTTCAATTGACTAATGATTTCAACTATGAAAATACTTTAAATTTATGTCGTTATATTAAGATTTATTAGAATGGAGGTTTGTAAAGATTGTAGTGATTTTAATAGTTGAATTCATGAATCGATTTAAGTTAGGTCACCATTGAAAACCTGGAAACATTGGACGGCCGTTTAGTCCTGGTATGGGACTGCTCAGAAGTGAGCATCCACGATCCTGCGAATTGAATTCGAACTCAGGACCTTCAGTCTAGCGCGGACATTTAATCTCTAGACCAGTGAGCTGGCATGCAACGGCGTTAGTGTCTAACTTCGATCGAACTATGCTCTGTTGAGGAGTCCCATACTAGGATGAAACAACAGTCCAGTGCTTCCACGTTTTCAATGATGGTTTAGCTTACATCGACTCATGAATTCAACTATTAAAATATTAGAATTTACTTGAGAAATCTTCTCAATTTTTTTTAATACAACACAAATAGTCAGTAATAAACAAAAAAGCAATGCAAAAAATAACACAGAATGGAATATTTGAACAAAGGATTGATATTAGGTTATTGATTTCATGGATTTTTCTCAGCTATTTACAACCTAAAATGATAGTCTTATTCATCAAAACATATATGAATTCTTACATCTGATCTTTAATTAACTAGTCTGTATTACATAATTTATGTTTGGTTCCGAGAAAAAAATTTTTTTTCCTGTTTCCATGAGCTTCTAGAATATTTAACCCATAAATAAACAAATGTTTGAAAAGTAATAATTCTTCAATATTATTATTTTATTTCCATATATATATACTTAATTCATTCTAGAAGAATCCGATACAAAGTTTTTATTTATTTATTTAAACACATAAATAATGGTACAAGGAAGCACCAGATAAATATGCGCCTCACAAATCTCATTCGATTTGTGTGGGGGCTGTGATACTGCCCAAGTGCCCAGACTGAAGCAGGTGGTTTTCTTAGGAGGCCACACCCGGAGCCTTTGACCTGAAGGTCTAACCCACAAGTCAGTGGAGCATCGTGAGGAGAGGCAGTCCCATGGTAGCCGTTGATCAACGGTTGATTCGTACGCCATTTTTTCCCTCAGGATACTGGAGCTCATGTGCACCATTGGTTTGGAATCAGGGTTTTCCAACTCCCCTAGGTGAACTTTCCATGTCCACCAACCCTGTTAAAGCGCCGGACATTCGCTTTTCGTCCTCTCAATTTCGTAAACAACACCGGTGCCACGAGAAGGCAGTGAGTAGAAATTCCCTGGCAGAGGCTATATATTCGTGTGGCCATATGAGAGCATTTCGAGAGGGAGAGCGGACTCTCCCCACTCTCGGCCGTACCAGGGCATTTGGGGGCGATACAAAGTATGTACACATATGTTTTGTTTTAATGAAGAGTAATATGGTTTTAATTTGTAAACATTTAATAAGAATCCATGGAATCAATTCATTCATGTTATTCTATTATGATATTTGTTTTTTTCTTTATTTAATTTTATAAATGTATAAAAACTGCATGAAGTTATCATCATACTTTACCTAGGTAGTTAGGTGAATTGCGAAGATTGTATTCAAGCGGAGAGAGCTTTCATTATGGGTATATATGCATATTAGCAAAATGTTATAACTAATGACATTTAACAACTTAGGAAGTGATACAGTTATCCTTGTTGTAATCAGACAACAGTCAAGATCCACTAAAAATGGATTGAAATATTGATTAGTAATTTACAATTCAGTCGTTTATAACTGTCAACAAGATCACCGCAAGAGACTTAGATGTTTTGACTTCAATACATAGCGGTGATATGTATGTATAATGTTAAGATGTTTCAAATTACAACAAAATTACTAACTAGTATTCTTTATTATTCAATAGTTTTTAAGCTGATATATTGATTCATGGTGAAAACTGCTTGAAAGAAATTTAACATTTATTATGAAATATTAATTACTAACTGATTTATAAGTAAATCAATATAAACTAGAAGAAATATTACTTACCAGTGATAAAATTAGTACTCAACTTCTTCCAACTTTCATATGTGAAATAAGCTACTGTCGGTACAACAGTATTAAATTCACACCATCGAAAATATTTCTTAACAATAATAGTGATTATGATTAAGTTAAGAAGAAATATTATGTCTTACTTTCAAGTAGAAGACAACTAAACCATTTAATAAAGTGTATACAAGTGAATAAAAATAAGGTCGCCATATTGAAGATCTATCATCAGGTACCTAATAATAATGGTAGGAAAAGTAAACATGTAATATAATAATGATGTATATATCTATAAATTAAAGAAACGTAAAAGAATTTATTTGACTCAATCAAAATGAAATTTATATCTTAAATCATAATCTATACGGCTGATTACTTCCTTACACCCACCAGCGTTATCCATCCAACTCAGTCCTGAACAATCCTTACCAGTCGCTATTCATCCATTTGACAACTCCACCTGATTCCCAGAGCAGTGTGTTCTTTGGTCTTCCTCTTCCCCGTTCCTCTTCACGATTCCAAGTTAACGCTTGCCTTGTGATGCCGTTTGATGATTTCCTCAATGTATGTCCTATCCATTTATAGCATCTTTTCTGAAATTTCCTCTTCAGTAGGAAGCTGGTTTGTTCTTTCCCATAATAAGCTGTTGCTGATGGCATTTGGTCAACAAAGGACATTAAGTATCTTGTGTAGAAAATTGTTTAGAAATACTTGTACATTTTTGATGATGGTTGTTGTAGTTCTCGAAGTTTTGGCTACGTACAATAGGACTGTCTTGGTATTGAGGTTTCTGACTTTCATGACGGTTGTTTTGAGTTCCATATGTTTTCCAACAGTAGGAATGCTGTTGTTGCCTTGCTAATCCTCACCTTTACGTCTGTATCGGATCTCCCACGTTCATCGATGATGCTGCTTATCAGATACGTGAAACATCCCACAGCTTTCAGGGTTTCTCCATCTTGTGTTCTTGAGTTGGTGTTCTCTGTGTTGTATCTGAGGATCTTCCTTTTTCCTTTGCGTATGTCGAGACCTACTACCATAGAGGCTGCTGCTACACTACTTGTCTTTATCTGAATATAATTGGTGTGTATGGGATAGAAGAGCTAAGTCGTCTGCAAAGTCTAAATCGTATAGCTGAATCCAAGCTGCCCACTGCATTTTATACTCTCACCGAGATGTGGAGGTCTTCATAATCCAGTCAATCACCAGAAGAAAAGAAATGGGGAGAGTAAACAGCGTTGTATGACTCCAGCCCGCACGTGGAATGCGTCTATCAGCTATCTTACATACAATGCTATGCAGTGTATTCCATTGTATGAATTCCAAATGCTGTTGAAGATTTTCTCAGGTACACCATAGTGTCGGAGGTTTCATAAGGTTTCTCTATACATACTGTCAGATGCTTTCTCTTACAATGAAGGAAGTTGATGTATAGTGACGAATTCCATTCAACTAAATGCTCAACAATGATATGTAGTGTCGCGATTTGATCGGTGTATGACCGATACCTACGGAATCTAGTCTGTTGATCTCGAAACTGGGTGTCCGATTTAACAACACTTTGTTGGGAACTTTTCCTGATACTGACGGTAGTGTGACGCCTCCGTAGTTCTTTCGTTTGTTCAGACCACCTTTCTTTGATATCTTGATGAGGTGTCCTTCTTTCCAGTCTGTTGGCACTTGTTCTTTCTTCCGAATCTCCCTGAACAGATTGTAGAGCATCTCTGCAGTTACTTCTATGTTTGACTACAGTGCTTCGGCTGGTACATTTTCAGGTCCTGATGGTTTTTCACTTTTGATTTGTCTGACGGCCATGATGATTTCTTCGATATATGGTTATTAATATATCGGTTTTATTTATCATTTAAGAACAAATATTTATGCTCAATGAAAGTGGAAATTAAATAAAATACTCTATTTCTACCATCTCAAAATAGCTGGATAACGGTGTGTATTAATATTCTCACTAAAAAAATACTGAATTAATTGTAGATAAAAGTCTTTGTGTTATAGGAAATAAGCAGAAATTAGACATAATGTTCTATAATATAAAGTTGAAGAACTAACAGAAATGATCAATATACTGAACATGCTAGTTTAAAATGTTAAAAAATACAATAGAATACCTTGCTATAGAAATGATTACTAGCCAGTAAAAATGTTAAACTCAGTGTAAGAAAGTTAACATCAACAGGTATCATAGAATTCTTCTAACAAACCTATTTGCTGATTAGGCTTACAATATTTTCTTTGTTTCTTAAGCTTAAAATAACCATGAATAACAAACTATCAAGAAAGCCAGATGAAAGCAATGTTGATTGATTTCGATCGTGGATGGTACTGAAAAATCACGACAAGCGTCTCGTCCAGTTTAGGACTTATCAGCTAAATATACTTTCATATCAGTGTTGTTGTTTAGACTAAGACTCGAAACCAGTACCATTTACTTCAAATACCAACACTTTATTCACTAAGCTACTAAGTTCAGATAACTGATAGTTTATTGATCAGGTATTATTTTTACTGGTAAAGATTTGCATGGCCTCATGATCAAAGCCAAAATGTGAAAGAAAAGGCAATATCGAAGCATCTGTTTAGGATGCACATATATTCCAACAAAATTTAGTCATGAATGTTAACCATAGGATAATACAAATCTTTACGAATTAATATTATCAATAGTATAGGATACAACTCTAAAAAAAAGTGATTTCAAAGTGCAAAATTAAAACTGAACAACGTACTTTAAATGAATGATAAATAGAGGATAGCCGAATACCGCAACCATATTGCATGCTAATAAAATGCTTCAAATGTATTGGAAAAAAATGAATGTTAAAGAAATAGTGAATATACTTTAGAAAAATCACGTGATATATGACTTAAGACATTGTATATTCCTCTGAAAGTAGGCTTAATTAGACAGAAGAAAACAACTGAAGTTGAGTGATACACACTTAGTATTTTTTGAGATATACTTAATGATACAACCTTTGGTTACTATTAGACATCATGCAAAACAGCACATTCATATAATAATTTATGACACATTACCAAGGGTTAGAGATTAATATTTACTGGATTAAAGACATTTAATTCAAAAGTAACACATTCAATAAAAAATAAACCTTTCTTGAGGTTGAACGTCATAGAACATCAATCATTGAAATTCAAAAAAATGTTATGACGATAAAACTAACTTGATGGAGGGTTTTTTTATTAATGATTTCCCATAGACGAACTAATATCCAATGGTGATGAATCTCAAACCAAAAAAATTAGTTTCAATCAAGATCTTATAACTCATAGATTATCAAATGACAAAATAATTTTTCGACAGTACAAGTGAAAGTTATAAAACAAACAATAAAGTTATAAATAAATCATATATTTGTAATATCCCAATGAGTAGAAAAATTGGATTTTCTGACGTTTCGTGACTCAGTGTAAGCTACTTCTTCAAAGAATAAATAACCAAATTAGAATTAATTTTAATTTGGTTATTTATTTTCTGAAGAAGTGACTTACACTGAGTCACGAAAAGTCAGAAAATCTAATTTTTCTACTCATTGGGATATTACAAATATATTTTTTATTTATAACAATCTACCCAATGCTCAATTTATTCAAAATTATCAAATCAAAACTTGTTAATGATACCTACAAACAATCAAGTTGTTTGAACGAAGAATATTCTTTTCGATAAATTCTCTTCAGGTTCTACAGTTATATTATCCAAATAAATAATCCGAAAAAATGGCCAATTTAAAGGCAAAGTATATCGTTTAAAGCATGTAAATTTAGGATTGTCAAACCAAATGTAATAAAATTTTTAATGTTGATACGACTCATTTAAAATGTTAACTTGAATCTGTATATATGTAAAGTGAAAATGTAAGATCTGTTATCAGAATAAATATGGGTCAGATAGGGTGAGAGAGATATGATAGTGCAATTACAATTCGACCGAGTGGAAGATTAAATTGTGTGAAAAATTAGTAAGACGTAATAAAGAGGTATCAATGTGAAGTGCATGAATAATGTATACATGATTGTAATTGTACTATCATATCTCTCTCTCACCCTATCTGATCCATATTTATTCTGATCACAGATCTTAAGATTTTCATTGAACATATAAGCCGATTCAAGTTAATATTCCACATGAGCCATATGAATATTAACAATTTCATTCTCTTTTGTTCAACAATTCTAAATTCACATACTATAACTTTCAACAATACACTATGCCCTAAATCTGACCACGTTTTTCGGATTATTAATTTGGATATATGAATGGTAGAACCTGAAGAGAATTTATCGAAAAGAATATTCTTCGTTCATATACATTAGTCTTTTAATATAATGGAGATCTTTAAACGATCAAGTTGTTTCAGGTTAGTAACAATCAATCAAAGAATATAAACAATCAATAATATTTCAAAGTTGAAATCATGAGTCAATTGACTCATGATTTCAACTTTGAAATATACTGAAATCTTCACAAATCCCCTTCTGATTCCAATCAATAATATTTACAAATTAATCAATTTATTTTTTTTTAATTAAAAAAAAAACTTTCAATGAATATAAAAAGGATATATTTCAAAAATATATTGAAATTATGATTAGAGTAGAAAGCATCTTTAAAACAATGTATATATTTTTGTAATATATTAAAAATCTGAAATAATCATGTTTCCAAGGTATTAATTATTCTATAAAAAAAAACAACAAATTTATCTTACATAACGATGATTAATTGATTGATTGGATATGATTTTAAAATGTTTACATCTATAATATTTAATAATAATAATAATCATAATTATTATTGTCATTATTAATTAGAACATACTTTATAGATAATTTTATCATTTCTTTCAATTGTTCCATATTGATTTCTGATAAAATCAATTGTATGTAAACATTGTATATATTGGCAAACTTTTTCAATGAATTATAGAATAATTGTACAAGGTTTAAATCTGTTAAATGAAAGTTTTATTATTTTTAAAAAAATGAAAAACAGTGAATGTAATCAAACCTTTTGGAATTGATCGATCACGATAGCATAACATCATCATTATCACTGAAATAACAAATTTATTCGCTATCCTACACGCATGTACTTTATAATGAATTCCACAAGGGTAAACCAAAACTATTTGACGAAAAGGAAATATAAGAAAGTAAATATAATAATAATAATATATAATATGCATAATATAATCACTCCTATCACTCTATAAGATTTAATACATATGAATATAGAAAAGTCTATGAATTGAAAAATATTTGACAAAAGCTATATCTTCAATGTGGGAAATAATATACTGAGATTTAATAGTAGCCACTATCCATCTTTGCTTACAATGCATGTGAATTCAAGCTACATCAAGGCAATGAGCACAGCATGTACATATGCCAATTAGAGACTGACCAGTTGCAGTCCTAAACATCAATGGGAAGATTCAAGCAAGCAATACTAAGTGAATTTATCATATCTTTATTTTGAAATTTTTTCAGTAACAATAATGAAATCGAACGCCTGATATAAAAGATTGAATCGACACGTCATCTATCTAAAAAATACTAAGTGCTGTGCTTGCTATATAACCTGATCTTGTATGAGGCTTTGTGTATGTATTGTTAAAAATAATCCAATCTGTGAGGAAATAGCTTTTTGTTATTTGGTACTCTTTCAATTGATATCACTCCTCGTTTAAAATGTGAAATTTTGATTCATTTTAGGAGTTCCAAATGAATGATATGGGTTGTGGATTCAATTACGTTGTAAAGTTAGATAATTACTTATTTTTTTAGAAAAACAATAAACGATCATAGCGTACCACAAATTGATTAAAACTCAAAATATAGATCACTAGATTATTTCTCAGTGTAACTCGAATAAAATTATGTAACGAATCCCTGATTACCTGTTACCAATAGAAACAGTATTCACTTTGCTATCAACGTTAAAAATTACTTACGAAAGTTGTGAAAGGGATTATTGTCTATACATGTTTCATCTTACATTCAAATTTGGCATAATATATTACAAATACAAAATGGTCACATAAAAAGTTAATAAAGTGTTGAATTTCCGTAAAATCAAAGTAGAAGTATAATATTTGATCTCATATGGTAACTAAACGTCTGACAATCATTCATCTGCTTCAGTTGATGAAGGCTATCGATCTTTGTTTTTCATGTAATCTTCACCGTGTTTCGACAATATAGTGGATTACACTCAATCAGTGGCAAATTATGATTTTAAAGACCATAATAAATCTTCTGGTTTCAGTCACAACTATAGATGTAATAACAACACAAATATCAACCCAACTGGTTGGTTTTTTAAAAAAAGGAACATAAAAACAGTACTCGGAGTACTTCTTTTCATGTTCCAATAATTTATAAGATGAATACATCACTAAACGATTGTCAGTCAAAAAAGTCATCCTTACGAATAAAACAATCATTCAAAAGTTGATTGTTCCATTGAAAATCGACGACCACAATCTCGATAAATAAAACTATGCAGAGTATTTGTAATACGACGTTGAGTAGTCAATCGTAATAAGCAACAACTAATCTATAAGCATCTCGATAGTTGAAAAATATCATTTTGAAATGTTTTGATGCTTTAACTCCTATATAAATATGTTGGAGCTACCAACTAAGATTATTTGATTTTTTAATTGATAAGTGGTTGAAAAGATCAAAAACCAAACCATATATTCAATGAAAAACTACGCAGTGTACAAAAACTATATCAAACAGTATGTATGCTCTTTTCGTTAACGGCTTATACAAGTGCTCAATGTTAATATATATAACATTAAAGGCCATACTCAAATCACGTGATGAAAACATAATGTATTTTTCCAACAACTAAACATGGGAGCTTTTCGGTTAGGAGTTGATGGTTAAGCTTAACACTAAACAAAACTGAGTATTCTATTTTCGTTAGGGTAATTTTGAAACATATTAAACACTGATAATTCGCAAACAGAATACTTGAACAGTATCTTATGCACAAAACTCAAGATTATTTAACTAACAAAGGCGAATGAATAGTTTCATGAAATGTAACGGTGCTCAACAAATGACTGGAACTACTTATTTCCATTGAATCTTAGACCACGAAATTTGTGGTCTATGAAGATTAAATTTATAGTGGATATTTTTCATTTGAAATTTACTATTTAAAAAAAAGAGAAAATTCTCATCATTATCTGAATCAAAAAAATATTTCATTGGATCTGGAAACAAGCCTTTATGTTTGTTATTATTATGAAACAGTAGAAAGATATATATGACAACCCATTTAATCAGGCGAAGTTTGATACACTTGCATGAAAATCAGTGCTACTCCACAAAGTAGCTGAGGTTCAAGCCTACAACTTATTGCTAAAGCTTTTGCATATATCTATTATTATTCTAATCAGTCACTTTGCATCATTCTTAAAAAAATGGTGTGCCAAAAGAACACTTTGTATAAATAAAAGTAATCCTACCTAGGAGAATTATTAAGACTTTAAGTACACTTCAAAATAACAAAAGCTTAAATATATCAACGTCAATGATTTCAAAATGTTTATTTCGCATATCTTGATTATGTATTACATAACTCTCTGCACAAAAAAGTGAAAAATCAACATGATAAACAATTTTTCAATAGTTGAAAGCGTGAGTCAATTGAAGTTAGACCACCATCGAAAACCTGGAAGCACGGGACGGCCGTTTCGTCTTATTATGGGACTCCTCAGCAGTGCGCATCCACGATCCCACACTAGTGAGATTCGAACCCAGAACCTACCAGTCTCAAGCCAGAGCTTTTAACGGATAGACCAATGAGCTCGCATTCAAAGGTGTTAATGTCTAACTTTAACTGACCCACGAGTGCGGGATGGTGGATACGCACTGCTGAGGAGTCACACAATAGGACAAAACGGCCGCCCAGTGCTCCCAGGTTTTCCATGGTGGTCTAGCTTTAATTGGCTACGCTTTCAACTATGAAAATACTAAATCTCCACAAAACCTCTTCTGATAATTAAAATTTCCAATAATTTAGAACTACTGATTCTCGAAAAGTTAGATTATGACAAACAACAAAATCCAGGAAGAACATTTCTTTCAATTTGGGACTCAACATCTAGATGTATCTGCATTCTCGTACTGATATTTACATTCAGTCTCGAATCTACTATCTTTTGTTATCAAACATAAACGACAATAACGAGATAATTAAAACGATTAGTAATAATAACGTATTTTATTTGCCAAAATTAGGAATATCTAAAGCTTTTATTTCAGTAGTAGAGTAGTTAAGACTGTAGAAATTAGGTTTTGATTAGCCAACTAGTGTGTAAGATTTAACATTTACTGTTATATATGAATTAAAATCAATAAAACAGTAATTACAGTAAAAAGAAATTTTTTTTCTAGAAAAACGTTTTATTTTTTCTAATAATAATTTTATGAATAAACACAATGATTCACAAATGAATAAATTAGAATAAAACGATGATTTCTTTCAACAAATTAGAATATGTAAATGACAAAAATGAAACAGGGTTGTTTATAAACATGAAAACAACTGCTTGTTATGTAATAAATGTGCTTAATCGTTGACTTGTTTGTATACATACAAAAAACAAGAAAGATCAGGGCGAACAGCTGCCTTACAAACAAAGAAAACTCTCAAGTCTCTATTTTGTTGTGATTGATTTCATTTGTCATTTTATTTTCTTAAATCAGTCTTCATTTGAACAATAATAACAAACAATAGAGAATCTTATTGAAGTGTTTAGCGTTTCATATTTGATGCACATGATAAAGGAAACAAAACCAAAGAAAAATAAACACACAGGAAGAGATAAGGAGGAAGAGGAGAAGGAGGAAAAGAAGGAGAAGAAAAACCGATACAGATGTTATGAAAACGAAACGAAACAAACAAACAAACAACAACAATAGCGACAACTAAATTTGACTATAATTAAACATTATCAAGGAAATGGATGAAAAAAAATTCAAAATAAATTATACGTTACAATAGTGTAATACACAAAGAATTAAAGTAAATTATTGATGATCAGGTTAACGAGCAAATATATTAGTTCAGTTGCTATCACTACCACTACTACTACTACTACCACTAATGTTACTGCTACCATTGCAAATATAATCATATTTATATTGATAGTAGTAAAAGTACTTCATAATTGGAATGCTTTGTTTTTTCTCATTCATATATACCATCAATATTATTGCACATCCGAGTCAGTAATTGAAGGTAGGAATTTTACATTCATCCAAAAAAATGAAAATAATATATAATGGAAAAAAAATGTCTATATATAAACGAAACTAATGTATCCCTAATGTATTTTACATAAATATAAGTACAAATTAAATCGATTAAAATAAACATAGTTTCGACAAGAATTATATCACAATAAAGTAAAAATGAGCAAATACAGAGTAAGGAAGAGAAAAGTAATAAAGAGATACTTAATTTAAAATAAAACTTTGACAAATCTGAAAACAACACATTGAAATTGAACAACAAATGTGAAATAATGAACACCAATATACTTATCCAATACTAAGAATATGATTTTATACTAATACAGTTCCCGTATGAATCTATCTATATATGTATATATAATTGAAAAGTAATAGGTTGGTCATAAATTTGCCATTGTTGAAGTTGATAAGTATATGAGCAAAACAAAAATGCAACACAGAAACATTTGATAATATCATGTAACATGGCAACTATGTCAATAGGGTAGCTAGTGACAACATTCATATTTATTTATTTACCATTATTTTGGTTTCATTCTTTGTATTTCGTATTTCATAAACTCAAAGTAACAATCACACATACATACATTATACAAACACTATGAATCCACATAATAAAAGAAACTCTCTGTATACAACAGAAGTAACATTTCTACAAAAAAAGTCATTAATAAATGCATTTAAAAAACGGAAGAAAACAGTAAGAAACCATGGATAACTAAATAGATGAATCGAAAAGAATATAGAGGCATACTGAAACTGAGTAATTAATCATAATGAAATTTTAAGAGTAATACAAAGAAGCAAGCAAACAAACAAGAAATTAAGAAAACGTCAAAATCTTATACTTCAACAATAAATTCCGGATTAACAAAAGAGAATCCACTAAACTCTGTTTGAGTTAAATTCATAACAAATAATTTATCAGTTGGTGATAATTCTGGAGTGACTTTTGTAAATTCACTATCGAAATTACTTGTATCACGTGGTGATAACTAGAAAACAAAAAGATTGTATAGAAAAGTTAGTCATTGTTTAAAAAAAGTTAGAGAGATTGTTTAACTTAATGGTTTACGCAACACAAATCCTTACGCTAATAATGATAATTTCCTCACTAGTGACTAATTTTGAGAAATAATTTATGCATTTCTAGTGACAACCCATGGCTAACGGTGTTTCACTGTAAGGCATTTATTTATCGAAGACAGTGTTAAGCGATTTTACAATATCTTAAATTGATCAAAGCTAAAAAACCCAAACCATTAGATGCAAGCTCAGTGGTTGATCGCTCGTCGCAGGGTCTAAAGGTTTCTAGTTTAATTCCTGGCCGGATAATGGGTATGGACAGTCGAGGATGAAACAAATGTCCAGTGCTTCCTGGCTTTCAATGGCTATCTAACCATGGTCATTTCGTGATATAAAATATTAAAAAAAACATAAAGGAGTGGCTGAGAAATTATTTACTTCATGAATGTAGTTTCATAAGTTAATCAGCGGTGTCAGGTTAAACTAAATGCTGATAATATATTGAACTGAATTAAGTTGAGGGACAGAGAGATAGTCTGAACTTTAGTTTAGTTGAATTCTTATTGTATTTCAGTGACTCGATGAGATCTGGAATATCTAATCCCTTCAGTTGTAATAATAACTGAATAACATGTAAAACAAACTGTCAAGTTATTTGTAAATGAAACTAATTCTAAAATGAGAGACGATTATACAGGATATATCTATCATAAATTATCTCATCAATTTCACTTTCACTAATAAGATGAAATACGAAATTAGTGAGTAGATGTGACTAGTCAACAACAGTGATGTTATCTAATTGGTATAAGGGGTCAACAAAAAAATGTTTATCACTTTAAGTTAATTATATTTAAACAACACAATACAGTGATTGAATCGATTACATGTCGACTGTTTGATTAATTAATGAATAAAATAAGGTCACTGGATTTTATTTGAAAGAGATAATCTACTGCAAAGGACAGTATGCCTCTTAATAAACAGAATACTGAATTTTTTATCATCATTGTCAGCATCCAAGAAATAGTTGGTTGTAGTTGTAATTTGTCATAGTGTAACATTGAGAAACATAAGGAGATATTCCCTCAACAATCTTCTTAACTACATTAACTGAATTTGATAATTTAGTCATGAAACTTTCATGATTTCGTGTTTGAACAACTTCAAAAGTACACTTTTAATTTCAATGTTAGCGTATATATATTTATTGTCTTTTCCTATAACCTGACTTATAATGTTATGATTATTTGCGATTGTTTATCTATTTAGTTAATAAGTTGAATTGGTGTTGATATAAGCGTATATCAGTTTGGAATTAAGGTTAGGTAGTTTTCTGATCATTTTAGATCGATTTAAGAGGTAATAAGAACCAAAATCCTCTAATAGATAGTTGGTTTTTTCATATTATTATTATACATTAAGTCGAAACTAAGGTTAGGAATTCTCATGATGAGCACAATATTTTCCGACCATGAGTTTGTAATCTAATAATTCAATATTTAGTATTTTACTGGGTTTTTTTTATCTAATATGGTCTAAATCCAATCAACCCTGGCAAGCAATGATCTCACTCGTGACTCAACTGACTTTGCAAGTGATTATTTCTTCTTAATAATATGTCGAAATATTCATCTTCAAGCTTGTCATAAATCCATGATGCTAAATATCTTTCCAGTAAAATAAGAGGGCCGTTTAGAGAAATTTTAGCTTTTAACAGTTATCCAGTTTATCACGCTACAATAAACATTATATCGAAACATATCCAATGAGACAAAAAGCAATACATACAGTAACTGGTTTGTATGGGGGTTGTACTAAACGCAGAGCAATTTTATCCCAATCTATGCGTCGGAAGAACAAATGTTCTTTAATCTCCTTTTCACCGTCTGAACCACATCCAAGTCTTTTCATTGGATCTCTTGTAAGCAGCTATATAATGGTAATAATAATAATACATTGTATATACAATGACTAATGTTTTAAAATAAAAACACTAAACAGTATCGTGAATAAGCATTGAAGATTCATTGAACATTAGTAAAAAATATTTAAAATGTAATAAAAATACATGTTAGATGGTACATTTACAGCGTGAACTGATATAATCAGAAACAAAATCAATCTACGATATGATAAAATCGTTTACGGGAGGTAGTGTATATAATACGCCGTAAAGGTATGTTGATTTGCAATACAAATACATAGAACTAAAAAACACAATAAAAACAATCAATTGAAAACAACGTGTGGTTAAGAGAATGTAATATTTTTGTTTAACCACCACCATCCTCAATGGATGGTGTTGAATGGTTTACGAGTAAGTTGGATGAATCTCAGAGACAGGAAAACCAAAACATAGAATCAATTGAAGAAGTAATTGACTGTTGAATTGAGCCATGCAGGCAAGTGTACACCATCTGGCTGAGGTCCATACGATTATTGTAACCAACGATTGAAGACGTTGAATGACAAGTCTGAGAATCGATCGAAATGGTGTACTTGCATTCATTCTTTGTCTCAGGTTAGATTTTGAGTTCCGAAACCATCTTATACTTTTTCTACTCCACGAATTCATTGGTTTTCTCCAATCATCTGCTCAGTCCCTAATCTTCTCTACTACCACTGATACTTATTCCTATTTCTATTACTCTAGAGTGTCTCTTGACAATTTCACCTCTCAGTGCTAATGTAGAATGCTTATTTGCTAGTGTCGGAATCGGACAATACACTGCCTTTTCGTGGCATTACTGTTGTTTACGAAACTGAAATGACAAAAAGCGGATGTCCAGCGATGTAACCGGGTTGGTGGATACGGAGAGATCACCTAGGAGAGTTGGAAAACCCTGATTGCAAACCAATGGTGTACATGGACTACAGGATCCTGAAGGAACGAATGGTGCATGAACCAATTGTTGATCATTGGCTACCATGGTACTGCATTTCCTGACGTTACTCCGCTGCTTTATGAATCAGACATTTAAATCAAATGCACCGGGTGTGACTCTCCAGGAAAACCACCTGCATTAGTCTGGGCACTCGGGTAGTACCACAGTTCACACACAAATCAAGTGACTTGTGTGGTGCATATGTATTCAATGCCCGTTTGTGCAAATATTTATTTGTTCAAATAAATAAAATGAAAAAGCAAATAATTGATTGTTCTAGTTTTCATAAACTTTGCTTTTTAATAATAAGAAATTGAATTGCTGACTCTTCGTGACTTAATGTAAGTCACAGAAATAAAATTAACATAAGTTTAAATAGTACAAGGGAAACAATGAATGATATTTTTAGCATCACATATTTATTACCTTTCTAAATAATGCACATTTTATTTGAAACTATCAAATTAACATTGGAATCACCACCTACAGAATGATGTACGTTTTTATCATGAACTGGTTAAAGCTATTCTTGGATGCCGGCTCAGTAGTCTAGATATTATGCGCTCGTTTCCAGACCCAAAGATACTGGGTTCGGTCCGCACTAAGATCATGAGTGTGCATTGACGAGGAGTCATGAACCTGGATGAAACAATTACTCAGTACTTCCTGGTTTTCAATGGTTATATAACTAGGATCAGTTCGTGATATAATCTATAAATTAACACTGTTTGATGTAATGAACGCATACATTTTGCATGACTTATGTATCTAATCACTTATATTTCGCTTGTTATTTCTCTCACGAAAAGAATACAATTCATTACAAGCAGATGTCTCTAGAGCTTTAGCTTTATCTAAGAAATTTACGTTGTTCTCGAAAATATTAATGCAAAACAGGACATTAATGAAGCGAATAAAAGATAATGTATATGAATATGATCACCGAAAATGTAGTTTGATGATAAAGTCGCTCGACTTTCAGTTTCAAACAACGCTCTACTCAATACGATTTGGCTGAATTAGTGGTAGTAGTAATAATAGTAATAGAGTCCACTTATAAAAGTGTGACTCAAACCTGAATATACACAAGGCTCCTGAGGTATAATGAATCTATTTACCTACATAAATTTGACTAATAGCATCCAAAAGAAAACAGTGAAAAAACGTACAGCTTTACAAATAGAAACGGATTCTTTGGATAAACTTTTAGGATAAGGAATAGTATGTTGTAATATATTTGCAAATAAATCCTCTTCATCTTCACCCTCAAAAGGAGGCTATAAAATAAAAAATATAACAATGTGTTTAGCTTTAACCATAGAGAAAACCATAAAAAAATGTAAAGAAAAAGAACGTTTAAAATAAGTCAAATTAATATAACATTAGTGTAAAGAAATCTATAGAGTAAATTATAAAATTTTCAATGGAACTCCTTCCAAAACAGTCCAATCCAATAATCAGGAAGCCCTGAAGACAAGTTTTATTTTGATCGGAACTGACCAATATGGTATAGTGTCTGTAGTCTTGACAAAGCTGATGCATCTTGTATCAGAAAATATTATAAAAACCAGAGAAATCACTGGAATAATTAGGCTGTGGCTGACATACAGCAGGAAAAAGATATTTACATCAACTGATCATTGAATGTTGATAAATATCACCACGTGATCTAATTCATACTAGCAATGATTAAATTGTTCCTGTTGGACTGAAATTTCGCCACATTTTCAGTAATGTATTCTGTTTAATATCAGATAGTCGGATTTAATCTCCAATAAGCTTTACACGTAGATTCGCTCGCATAATTCACTGAAAGTTTTTCTAGTTCGAAATCCTGACATCGTTCCAATGGATTACTATCCAAAATTTATAGTTACTCTTCTTTACCCATTTATATAACAACCCAGGGCTAGTGATAACTTGTTTGGTGTTTATTTATTGAAGTATTCAAAAAAGCTATTACAATCATATTTGGATCGTATTTTCAAAGGTTTACTGTGATTCACGGTCAAATAAATCTCTGTCAAAAGTTCTTCATGTTCTTACGTGTGTCATCCAACCCATAGGTTCAAGAAGCTAGCACTCCTCGGTCTTAATAATCAATATACTCCCAATAAATAATAATGTTTCTCATGACTAATAATTAATTGTATTACTTTTTAATTGTGCTGACTATTAGTTGCGTCCAGACTCTGCTTCTATGATGAATCGAAATGTTCATAAAAAAGATAGCTGTAGCTCAAATAAATTCAACACTTCGCTCAGTTTTTTTTTGCGGTTTACAAGCCGAAGCAGTATTATTAGAACTGATTATACAAAGCACAAGTTAATGCTTAAAACAAGAATTTGGGCTTGGTTAGTGAGATACAAGTATAAACATTCTCTGTTTATAATACTAGTCGTACGGTTTTATGATTCCAGGATAACTGAAAAGATAATTCATACATACTGGTTGCTCCAATCTTCCAATTGTTATTCAGAACTGGAATTGATCATGCTTTCTGAACTAAGTAGCTAAGTGGATAATGCGATGAAGTTTGAAGTTAACGGTACTAGGTCCGAGTTTTGGAGTCAAAATCAACTCTGAGATGCAAGTGCACCTAGCTAATAAGTCCCGAATAGAACAAGACGCGCTTCCTGCAATTCATTAATAGTCATTACCCATGACTGAAAAAAATATATTTTTTTAAACTACTGTTTGAAACTTTAAAAACAATAATGAAATAGTCTTCTAATCTTCAGATAGGCCAAATGATAGTTTTACTGCTGAAATGTCATAAAAATAAAAAACGAATCATGATGTTCAAAGAATCTACTCAATTCCTACGTCCAAGTCTAGGAACGTCATTGCATAAAAGTTAAATTCCGTAAAAGCAAAGAAAAAAAGTCATTTCGATCATGAAAATATTGATGAAATCATTTCATTGCGATTTAAATATTCTAAGAGGTTAGAGAGAGAAAGAAAGACATTATATACATATTAGAATGATATAAAGTATTGAAGAACTCTGATCACAATATAAGCCATTTTACATGAAAAAAAATCAGTAAACATTTGTCAAAATTTTTAATAATGCCATTCTAAATAGGTCATCAGATAGTATCGCTTACCTGACCAGCTAACATTTCATATAGCAAAACACCATAAGACCACCAATCTACTGATTTACCATAAGGTTTATACAGGAGTATCTGTTTATAGATTGGTAAAGTAAGCAAAACATTAAACAAAAATGTAACATGTAAATAAATGAGATCTTTCAGACAAACAAACAAAATGCATAAAATGATTTGGAATAAAGTATCAAGTCACAATCAGTATAATAGTAATATAATAAAACGAAAATGAGGAAGTTGAATTTGTAATGATAAACGTATCCAAGTTAGATGACAGAACCCGACCGTTGCTGCTACCTTGACGTGGTGGTCGGGCTTGCCTATCGTGATGATCCAATCGAGCTATGCTGGCTGGAACAATCGTTCCTCAAGGTCCTACCATGCCAGACAGGTCGGTTGAAGAGCGGTGAGACTAAAAGCAGCAAACCCAAGGTCCGAAGGCGAAGTCGTACTGTCGACTGTACAGAGGTGTGACGGCAGTAAGGTGTTTCCTTCAGACAACCAGCATGACAGCGATGCTGCCTTCCCACAAGGAGGGGTGGGGTTAGAAAAGGTCGGCCCTAAAAATGCACACCTCGCCTTATCCCACGGACATCCGTCTCCGGCGGTAAGGTTTTTTTGAAGAACGGAGCTAACACAAAAACTACCCACAAAAAGGTCGTGTGTGACCGACCTCAAGCAGTTGTCCCTTGGGCACTGCGGTCACGCTCTCAGGTCATTAAGACCACTTCTAACCCAATTTCCTTTTCAGGTACCCCCAGAAGAACCCTTCCACGGTGTGGGAAACCGGGAAGTGATAACTGCCCTCATACCTCTAACAGCACTCAAGACCACCGACTGACTGACAGAAAGACTTTTCCCTCAATAGGTCAGCATTTACAGAGATCATGTCTTTTTATAAAGGAATGATAGAAAAAGGAGACTTGTAAAATGAAATACTTCATTTTTCATCACAGATTCTCAGAATTAGTAGTAAAGTACAATACAAACACAATCATGACTAGTCACTAAAAGATCATGAGTAACTGGCCTAGAGTAATCATCTATTGGACTATATAATCAAGCTCCCAGATCGTCACGACCAAACTTAGATAGTTTCTTTTCCTGGGCTCTTAAGGAAAAAAACATTCTCGAACAACCCTGGGAAACTATGGAGTAACAACCGCTCTCATGCTTTTAACAGCAATCCAGTTAATTTACTGACCGAATCTAAATCAATGAAGTAATTGAAATAATCCAAGCCAGGACAAAAAATCGTTCAGTAAAATTTGTGGATTATCATATTATTCTCCAATCGATTTCATTTTATTTGTGAAAATAATCTCTACATTGAACAAACTATTTTTAACAAAATTGCTTATCTTGAAAAAATTGTAATCAAGTAAAACAAAAATAAGGAAAATAAATTCTCATTGTTATGTATTCTGTTTATAGTAAATATTGTTAAATAATTCTAGTGTAATAGGGAAAAAAAAAGAATTATTGGTAATATATTTGTTTTGCCTAAACAAGAACATTTTTTGGGAATTTTATCAGTCTTTCTTTGGTGTAAACAAATGACCATTCCAAATATTTACTATCGTATAAACGAATACATATTTTATATAGTTGAGATCATGAGTCAGTTGAAGCTAGACCACCATCGAAAACCTAGAAGCACTGGACGGCCGTTTCGTTCTATCGTGCTACACCTCAGCAGTGTGCATCCACGATCCTGCCTCGCGAGCTTTGATCCTACGACCTATCAGTCTTGCGAGCGAGCGCTTAACCATTAGACCACTGAGCCGGCACAAACGGTGTTAATGTCTAACTTGAACTAATCCACGAAATTCAGCAACCATTCATCGATGTCTTCAGTAAGTTGATATCTCCCACAAGACCTGGTTGAACTACACTAGTTACTGCTTCTCACTAGAACTCCAGGAAATACCTGATGGAGCCAGTCACTAGTCACACATTTGATCAAAACAATTTGTAATCACTCAAAATATACATCAGACTCCATCATTATATCAAAATTGAGTTGACTAATAAATAATTGAAAAGTATAATATTTTAATTAGAAGGATAATTTGTAACAGATTGATATAATTTACACGCGGAATCACTTCAGTATCATTCAGTCATCATTACGGCGAACAATTAAATAAAAAAATACAAAAAACATCAGTTTTTATTCAACTAACAAACGTTCCCATATTTCAGATAGTTAATATGGAGTGTAAACATGTTGAAGAACAAAATAACACAACATACTTCAGGTGCAATATAATCTGGTGTACCACAAAATGTATGTGTTGTAACGTCACCTGTAATACCATCTTTACACATTCCAAAATCAGCTATTTTAATATGTCCATCAGCATCGAGCAGTAAATTATCCAATTTTAAATCCCTGTAACAACAAACACATTATGAAATACGAGAGAGAAGAAAAAAGTAAAAAAATGTAACATAAGAAGAAAAATAGATTTCGTCAGAGTCAATAAAAACAATAATAGACAGAACTGGTTTAAATGGACAATCAGTTATCACTAGTGAGAGCATGACTGTAATTAGTATAAGGGAAATCGCGAAGATAGTAGAATCTTAATGATTTCAAATACGAACTGAGGAGTCTCACAATAGGACGAAGCAGTCATCCAATGTTTCAAGGTATTCGAAGGTGACCTAGTTAAAATCAGTTTGTGATTTCGATTATGAAAACTTTACAATACATGCGAATTTCTCCATAATAACTACTTGTAAATCAAACGAAACGCGTGTAGCGGATTTCACTACCGACCATTATCAAAAAGCTATAGTGAAATTGGTGAACTTACTTTGACATGAATATTTACAGGTCAGTAATAATAAATAACAGAACAATCAGCGATATTTTGTTTCCTAGTTACAAACAGATGAATGAAAACACCAGTGAGTTCAGAATGAGAAATAACATAGTGTTTGGTACCTAGATAAATGTAACATATTTCTGAAGCAACAAATTAGTATTCTCGATAACAATTAACAAGATTGATATAACATATTCCCAGTTTCTTGTTTATATGTCTAGATTTATCGATTCATGCATAAATGAATAAACACATTGTTCCCTGTCATTAAACGATTATCTACTACACTGAATGTGTTCATAACGATTATTTTAGCGTACGGACTATTTTTTAAAATAAGCACAAACGCTAATTGTCACAAAATGTTACGAGTAGTTACTTTGATGTGCTGAGGAAGTGTGATGATTTGTACTGAAATCCTGAACAACAACGGCAATGATGTCTATAACAATATTCTATTATTTATCATAGTTACAAGTATATTAACATTTGAATGAATATATTGTCGTAAAACAAAAAAGAGACCAAATTGACCAAATTTACAGCTTCTCAAACACTTTTTAATGTTCTTTTGCCTTCAAACTTCTAATTTTACTAGACGATCCATAGATATTCTTCGGAGTGAACAATTAAAATTTACAGTGTGTTGTGATAATTAGACGTTTCAACAAACGAAAACGGAAGGACATGCAATATAACAGTTACTAAAAACAGTTCACATGGACAGTGATGTTACACTTATTTTGGGAGAAAAGTATAATATTTCTCAAACCAACAATAGTGTGAAACAAACTAAAAAAAACATTTCTTATACCTTAGATATTATATTATAATAGTTTTTGACTTACCGATAAATAATTCCTTTATCATGTAGAAAAAATAAACCAACGGCTACTTCAGCAGCGTAAAATCTGAAATATATAACGAGAAATCGAAAGACGCAATAAAACATATACAAATGAGGGTGAGCAGAGTTGGTCTATCTACTGGTTGATGAATTTAAACCCATGGATGATGAAATAGGACTTCATCATACCCATTATCGATGTCTCCGAACTAAATATCACCAATTCTTCGTACAGATTTAAAAACCTTGGTTGGCTTTTGGAAGACATATGACGTAGACGATATATCAATCCGTCAACTAAAAGGTGAGCACGTTACATAGCAGTTCATTCTGCTCTGCTTTATGACTGTGAAACATAACACTTAGAACAATAGAGTATTGACAGGTTACTAATATTTGATCATATACGTACTCGAAGCATTGCTCAAGTGCAACAACCAAGAAAACAATGTTGGGGTTAGACAAAAAGTACTAGGTAAACGCGGCAAACCGGTTGATGATGTAGTAAATCTTTGCCAGCTGAGGCGGTTGGAACGTCTATTAAGTATGTCCAAAAACTGCGTATTTAAACGCAATGTTGATTGGTGTACCATAAAGAAGGTGTAGCATCAATCTATAGAGTAGCTGACTACTGAACGGAGATGAGTTCATTGACAGGGAATACCTTGTTGAAGTTTGAGAAATAACCGAATTTAGTAGTTCGATATGTTGAATGGCAATGATCAGAATATTGTTTAGAATGATAAGGATGTATTCACTTTATCTTCGCTTAAATCTTTCATTTTAAAACTATCTTACACTTTCTATTCCGTAAATTAATTTTTTTCACTCGAACAATTTACGCTTAACTCAATCGTTTTTACTGTCATTGATACCATTACTATTTTTACTACTATAAAATTTGTATTGATAGTTTTATTTCACCGTGGTTAGCTTTAACCACTGTACACGTACGTGACCGATTTTAAATGCCTTTTAAATAATTGACTAACATTTAAAACAACTAGCGTTGGAAATTAGGCATAAATATTTGTCAGAAGGGGTTTTGTGGAGATTTAGTATTTTCATAGTTGAAAGCATGAGTCAATTTAAACTAGAACACCAAGGAAAACCTGGAAGCTATGGACGGATGCGCACTGTTGAGGAGTCCCACAATATGGCGAAACGGCCGTTCAGCGATTCAAGGTTTTCCTTATTGGTCTGGCTTCAATTGACTCATGCTTTCAACTATGAGAAATATTTGTATTCTGTAAATTATTTGATAAATATTACTGACTAAATAGGCATAAAAACGTTTTTTATTATTTATTTAAATAGCTGTTAGGCATTTCTTAAACAATAAAACATAATTATTAAAATAAGAATTCGTCAATTTAGATAAGTATAAAACTCATGTCTATATTTTCTATTGAGAAGGTGACTTGAGATAAAATAAAGGAAAAAAATGGAAAAAAAAGTTTTTTCTTACTATCAGTCATTAGAAGTAATTTTGAAAGACAAAAAAATAAAATTATACTCTTTCACACTTTCTTATTACAGAGATTCTATAAATAAGTTACAGTAATTCATCATTAATGGTAATTAATTTCATGGAGAATAATAAAAATTAGAATCAATCCTAAATTCACTTAGTATTGTTTATTTGAATCTTTCCATTGATGTTTAGGACTCCAACTGGTCAGTCTCTTATTAGCATATGTGCATACTGTGCGTATCGCCTTGAGTAGCTATCAGAACTCAGTAGCTGAGTAGATAACGCGATGGCGTTTAAAGTGAAAGGTACTGGGTTCGAGTCCCAGAGTGAACATCAACTCTGAGATGCAGGTACATCCAGATGACGAGTCCTAAATAGGACGAAATGCGCGTCCTGGATTCTACTGCTAGCCGCTATCCATCTTTGCTTATAATTATTCTGTTTTAAATAAGTTTACAAATAACCTACACATAAAAGATGAATTAATCTTCTCTTCGAAATAATATATGATCTGTCTTGATTAACCATTTCCTTTTTTTTGTTATTTTCATCATTACTCTAGTAACACTGTCAATTTATGACCTTAATTTTTTCAATTTTTTTTTGAAAAAAAAAGGTCAATGAAATTCATCATGACACTTTATAAGGTAACGTGTGTTCATATTTAATGATTATGATTATTTTTTTCCAATTATATCCATTTAAATAAAATTTAAATACTTCGTTAGTGTTCATGATAATGACGTTTCAACCTATAAAACTTATTCTTATAATGAAAATGTTTATAATTATGTAAAGATCATTAATGATGATTGGTATATGGAATAATTTTAATGAAACTGGTTATTTAAAAAAGAAGCTGGTTTTATAGTTAAAAAATTTTTGAATAAATAAATTCATAAATTACAATATCCATATCAAATACAAGAAATAGAGACATATTACATATGTAACTCAATAATCCAATGATATTGTATCGTTGAAAGCGTGAGTCAATTTGTTATGCCTGAAACTAAATCGATTCCGCGGTAACGAACGAAAGCCAATGACACAATGACACTATAAGCTACTCTAATCTGTTGTCCCAGGCCCCGCTAACTAGATGAAGAAGTCCAAGGCAAGTAGGGGAATATATATGTATTCCGTAAGCAGCCGAGTACAAGCAATCGAATAAGGGAAAAAGTCAAGCGCATTTATACAACAACAATTTGTCCTTGAGCATCATTGGTAAATAGCACACACAAAGAAACAATGGACCAATAGCGTTTAAGACAGTTTACAAGTGGGAGATATGATGTGAAGGTAAAAAGAGCGCGTTTGGCGCGGAAACAGCTAAATTCAAATTTTCAAAATAAAATTACAAAACTAAGCCATTTACCAAGTAAGTTCTGGGGATTTGACATCCCCAACACAATTGAAGCTAGATCACCAGGGAAAACCTGGACGCTTTCAACTATGAAAATATTAAATCTCCAAAAAACCCTTCTGATGATATTGTATCGGGTTGTAAGAATTAAATGTTCTACGATTGATACATGTACATCGTGTCATGAGTGTATACACAATTGAATGTTCACAGTTCATCCAGTTCAAAATAATTAAATTGTAGTGCATAGGTGTAAATGATATTTCTCTGAATAATTTCAGTGTATATGTGGTGAAGATCACTTTACTTAGTATTTAAAAAATTTCAACAAAACCAGTTAAACAATTAGGCTTTTTTTTAATTTTTACTTCAGGAGGACAAGTATGATGAAATAAGTGATTTATTTTATTTCCGAGAGGAATTTTCAATATGTTTTTTCAGAGGAGAAAATATAAACGTTAGTAGTTAATGCTGTAAGTTAACATTTCTTAACATACAATTTGTAGTCAGTTAACACGTCATGAAACATACAGAACCTGAAAAAATGTGATTTTGTTTAGCGGAGATGAGGAAGGCGACTAAAAATAAAAATATTGTCGGTGACACTAGAATTAAGCAAAATAAGTAGTTAGAGAAGAATAGAAATCAAATAGTTGATCCAACCATGCCACAGCGATCAATATCAGGTCCTGTGACTGTTCAAACATTTATTATGATAATCACTTGAATTCAACTCGAGCACCTCTACATACCGATACGAACCACATTACCGTCGATGATTTCATCGATTGATACCATATATTAGCTTTGTCACTTATAAGCACTCGTTAAGAATGTTAAGGCAAAAATGTGGTGGTAATCGTCACAGGCTTTATATGAACAACTAATGGACAGCTATTTAGTTTTAGTACGAGGTATCCGCAGAGAACTGGTTGATGTCATTGCTCAGTGACTAATACTATCAACGAATAATACTAACTAAAGACTAAGTAAGTTTCAAACGAACCAATTGAATATTAACGTTTAGTGTTATTGGTAATATTAATAATCATATAGTTAATAAGATGGATGCAAAGAAAACCAGGTAATCATAATTGTTATATCCGGACAAAAAATAGGTGAATGGTAACCGTTAGAATCTATTTGTGGAATTTTACTAAATATATTCTTATTGTATAACTATATGAACATTTATTTGACCTATTGACTATTACCATACGACTTATTATTCTTGAGATATTACAGTCTCTCACCACCACAGTCAGATTTGTTTTGATCTTATATAATTGCTATTTACTATTTTATGGTATGTTGCGATCCAGTTTGCTTTTAGATAAACCCAGTATGTCTAAAATATATGATTCGTATAACGCAGGCTGATATTAGTGTTCCGTACTAAACTGGCTGGGTTATGAGAGAAACTACTATCACTGTGAACCAATAAAGACTCAGAATCGACTCTAGGCTGCTCGTATTGGTTTATACGATACTGGCTTAGTTAGTAAGTCGATGTTCTGCAATTGACTGCAATTGATCAGTCTCTCGTTGGCATATGTATATTCTGTGAGGATTGACTCGATATTGCCCTAAGTCACAAGCAATATAATCAGTGATGAATGGAAGTTAGCAGTGGCATCGAGGACGAGCATTTTGCTCTATTTAGGATGAAAGAAACGAAACGTGCTTCTTGGATTCCACTGACAGCCACATCCACAAGCTAGTGGCCATGTGAACTTAGTAGCTAAGTGGATAACGCGGTGGCGTTTGAAGCGAGCGTCACTGAGTTTGAGACCCAGAGTAAATATCAACTCTGGGATGCAGGTACATCCAGCTGACGAATCATAAGTAGGACGAAACGTGCGTCCTGGATTCCACTGCTAATAATATTAATAACATTAACAATTATTATTACACTTAACCATTAACCATCATTAAGCTAAAAGCCATGAATTATTTAAAGTTTTTAATTTAACCATTAGAATTACAAAACAAATCTTCATAAAAGATTGTATCAATGGGATAAAATTAGATCCAAAATGAATATATATATATCGTATAGGTAGACTTACACAGCAATAGGTTCTTTAAATTTTCCTTCCTTTTGTATTCTAAACATTAGATCACCACCATTGACAAATTCCATTACAAAATATAATCGATCCTTTAAAAAGAAATTAACAATAGGAAAAACAACTATTATTTATGATTAATTACAAAAGCAAACAGCATTAAAAATATTATCTCATAAGTTGTTCAATAATCAAGTTTACATATCTACATCACATTAGAATTTGAAACTATTGTTTTTTGTTCCAGAGGAAATTTAGTGATCGTTACCAACCTATGAAAGAGAGATGATGAGAATACATGAAAACAGTTCATAAATAACTTTGAATGACAAAGATAATCTGATGAACAAAGATTCTTTTTAATAATTAAATACCACAAGTAATGCTTTAGACTAATTTCTTTCTGCTTAATATTTTTATACTAAGCAGAAAACGAGACTGTAAATGTTGAAAAATCAGTTAAATGTTACATATTAGCAAGCAGCACTTTTTACATTCCATGACGAAATCACACACGGAACAAATCAGGTTCTTAGATAAAACGGTATTCTATATATTTAATATTATAATTACCAAATGAACGGTTGCCATTATCAGATTGTAGAGGTTTTTGGATTTCAATAAAATCAAAAATTGACCACTGTTAGACAATTATCGGAGGCTTAGAAGTACTCCACAGCTATTTCGTCCTTGTGTGTAGCTCCTCAGTAGTACGCATCTTTGACACCAAGACCATAAACAAGACTCAGGTCTTACAGTCTCGCGTAAGAACGCCTTACATTTAAAACACTAAGTTGAGATCCAATCGTGTACAAGTCTAACTTCAATCAACCCATAGATTGTCATTGTCTTCGGTAAACACGTTTCTCACACACAAAAAAATAGTAGAACTAAATTCCATCCTCCATAAGGTCATGGATGGACACCATTGAGAAGTTTAAACTATGACGAAACGTTCTTCAAGTGCTTCTGGTTTTCCAATAGACACGCAATTTAAATCCGTTGGTAATTTCAATGAAGTAGATGAGTATTGGATATAGCTGATACGTCTTATATTCTAATTGTATTGCAGAACCTATAAAAATCTAGAGGAATCATCCGTTTTGCTGATCACGAAACTTGAAAATCTAGATAACGACCATTTGGACATAGAATAATAGATAACAGGTTGGGCATTTTTAAGTAAAAGACACGTTGTTCGGGTCCCAATGTGAACATCAACACTGGAATGTAGGTACATGCATGAGTTCCAAAAAAGTTGGACAATACAAACTAAACTTTATTGCTAGCCACATTCCATAAATTATAAATAACCTGAATATTATGGTCAATAATAATATGCTTTATCTTGGGGAAATGACAATACTGTTGTTATTTAATAAGCCTCAGTCTAAACAATCGTCGACTGTTAAGCAAAAACTCACTCATAAATTATTCAAACATACACATTAATAACTAGAAAAAATGTATTTTCTTTTTACGAAAAAAAGGAATTAAACAATGTATTTCATCATATTCTATAATCATATTCCCCAACCACCATATCTGGTCAATACAGATATTATTAAAAAAACTATATAATAAAATCAGCTAAAACGTACAAAAATTCTACTTTCATCATTTCTCAGTAACATGAGGAGAAATACAACAACTTCATACAATAAAAACCACCACTTCTTAGATCAAACAGATGTTAGTCGTAAAACAAATTGGAAATTGATCAATGAACACTTCAAAAGAGAAAAAACATAGTTGAATTCCACAATTAATTATATTTTCAAAATTATCTCATTTCTTTAACAAACAAATTACTGTTCATGATGAGAATAAACACAAGTATCTAACAGTGATTTTTGGGAGTTGTTTTTTTCTTATTTTTTCATTTTACTCAAAAAATTAGAAAAAATAAACTTTGACTACTTAAAGTAGTTAGATCTTTATATTCATCTGTTTGTTTGTTGGGTTTTTTTGTTTTATGAATTCAGACTACTTTTTTCGTATTCAAAAATGGACTATTATTATTATTATCATTACTATTTCTGAGAACAACGACGGCAATCACTACGGAAACGAACACATAATGTAATACTTCAGTTATTTTGAAATAGTTCATCAGGAAACCAATAGTAACGGATGTGAAGTTTGTGATTGTTGAAATTTCTTCTCATTATTATTGTTGTTGTTGTTGGTTCTATTTTCTGTTGTTGATCATATTCAATATTTTTTAAATTTATGTTATGCATTGATCTTAATTTATCAATGAAAATTATCAAAGACAAACTAACTCTTTTGAGTTTATTTAATAAAAAGACAACTACTGAAAATAATTTAGGGTCTCATAAAATAAAGTTTATTGGAATGCAATATTGTGAATGGGTTGGTAATATGAGGAGTAGAATTGTTAGTTCTGTTATTTACTTTTCGTTCTCATTGATAATTATTTGTTTTATTACTACAGAGAGTTTTTTTTGGAAATTGTTCAATCTCATGGTTTACATCTGTTATGCTTGTGGCCGAGTGGATGACTAGTTGATGTGTGACTTGATGAGACCGCCAATTAGAGAGCAGCGAATTGTCGATTGGAACAGTGACACACGAAACCGTACGAGCAGACTGGAGTGTTAACCGGTCCTGCGATCTGCCTAGCCCAACCAGTTAAGTCCAAAACACCGATAACAGCCTCAGTGGTATGATTCATTATTTACAAACACACTAGGTTTTTACACAAAGTAAAGTAATCAATAAACTGATTATAACTCAAGAATCGTATGATAATAAGTCAAGGTCAAAACAAAGCTAATGATAAGAGAAATACGAATATGAATAGTTCAGTTACGTAATAATTGTACAATAGGAAATAGGCATATTACAATGATCCATAAATAGACCTAAAAGTTACCATTCGTAATTCACCGGGGGATATAACAACATCATAGCCTGATCATGATTAGATAACTATTGAAAACTAGGACACATAGAGTAACCGCTTCGTTCTAGTATTAAACTTCTCAGTAGTGAAAATTCGTGACTTCAACGAGGATCAAACAAAAGATCTACAGTTCTTAAGATGAGTCATTAGCTTTAAAAAACCGGAAGAGTCTTCCAAATTGCTGCAGAAATGAGAAAATACAACCTGGAGGTGCATGGAATCAGAGAAACACATTAGACGCAGGTTGGACAACAACGACTGTCTTCAGGAGAACTTCTGTTATACTCCGGTCATGAAGAAGAAAATGCCCCACATACACAAGGAGTTGCATTGATGCTGTCCAGAAAAGCACAAAATGCACTTATAGGATGGGAATCTCATGGACCGAGGATCATCAAAGCCTCCTTCAAAACGAAGAGAGAGGGCATTACAATGAACATCATCCAATGCTATGCGCCGACCAACGACTACGATGAAGACGCTAAAGACCAATTCTACGATAGACTGCAGTCGATCGTCCACAAGTGCCCAATCAAGGACCTGACCATTCTGATGGTAGATTACAATGCCAAGGTTGGAAAGGACAACACTGGATACGAAGATGCCATGGGACAACATGGACTGGGAGAAAGGAACGAAAATGATGAGAGATTTGCAAACCTATGTGCCTAAAATAAACTGGTCATAGGTGGCACCATATTCTCACACAAAAACATAACAAAACCACTTGGATTTCACCGGATCACACTACACAAAATCAAATCGACCATATCTGCATCAACAAAAAGTTCAGGAGGACGATGGAGGATGTGAGAACCAGAAGAGGAGCTGATATAGCATCCGATCATCATTTGCTGGTCGCCAAGATGAAACTAAAACACAAGAAGCACTGAACAACGGCACGGACAACATCACACTGGATAAAATTGAAGAAAGGAGGAACAAGAAGGCAGCAATCAATATCAGCCGAACCAGAGCGGAAAAAGCCAAGACACAAGCCGAATACACAGAGGCAAACAAGCAAGTGAAGAGGAGCATCAGAACCGACAAACGTAAATATGTGGAAGATTTAGCGATGACAGCGGAAAAGGCTGCAAGAGAAAGAAACATTAGACAATTGTATGATACAACAAAGAAACTTGCTGGAAATTACCGTAAGCCAGAAAGACCAGTGAAAAGCAAGGAAGGCAAAGTAATCACCGATATTGAAGAACAATAAAACAGGTGGATAGAACACTTCAAAGAACTCTTGAATCGACCAGCTCCACTGAACCCACCCAACATCGAAGCAACACCCACAGACCTCCCAGTCGATGTTGACCCACCAACAATTGAAGAGATCAGCATGGCCATTAGACAAATCAAGGGCGGCAAAGCAGCGGGACCAGACAACATCCCGGCAGAGGCACTGAAAGCAAATGTAGCAGCAATTGCCAAGATACTCCACATCCTCTTCAGTAAGATTTGGGACGAAGAACAAGTGCCAACCAACTGGAAAAAAGGACTTCTGGTCAAGATACCAAAGAAAGGCGATCTCAGCAAGTACGATAACTACAGGGGCAGCACTCTCTTCTCAATACCAGGAAAAGTCTTCAACAGAGTATTGTTAAAAGGGATGAAGGATTCCGTGGACGCCCAACTTCGAGATCAACAAGCTGGATTTCGTAAGGATAGATCGTGCACAGATCAAATCGCAACTCTACGTATCATTGTAGAACAATCAATCGAATGGAATCCATCACTCTACATCAACGCCATGGACTACGAGAAGGCATTTGATAGCGTGGACAGGACGACATTATGGAGGCTTCTTCGACACTACGGAGTGTTTGCTTGAGAAGATAGTAAATATCATACGGAACTCCTATGATGGACTAAACTGCCAAATCGTCCACGGAGGACAACTCACCGACTCGTTTGAAGTAAAGACTGGTGTTAGGCAAGGCTGCTTACTCTCATCCTTTCTCTTTCTCCTGGTGATCGACTGGATCATGAAAACGTCAACATCTGGAGGAATACACGGGATACAGTGGACAGGCAGGATGCAGCTGGACGATTTAGACTTCGCAGATGATCTGGCTCTTCTATCACAAACGCAACAACAAATGCAGCAGAAAACGACCAGTGTAGCAGCAGCCTCAGCAGCAGTAGGTCTCAACATAAACAAAGAGAAAGCAAGACTCTCCGATACAATACAATATGCACCAATCAAATTACACTTGACAGAGAAGCTTTGCAGGATGTGGAAACCTTTACATATCTGGGCAGCATCGTTGGTGAACACGGTGGATCAGATGCAGATGTGAAGACGCGGATCAGCAAAGCAAGAGCAGCATACTTACAACTGAAAAACATTTGGAGCTCAAAACAATTGACATGGAGAACTATGAAAGCCATTATCCAGAAGATACAAGTGTTTATTAGCAGCTGTCTACTGCAAGATACTTCGAATCCGATGGCCAGACACTATCAGCAACAAGTTACTGTGGGAGACAACAAACCAGATCCCAGCGGAGGAAGAAATGAGGAGGCGATGGAAGTGGATTGGGCACACTTCGAGGAAATCACCCAATTGTGTTACAAGACAAGCCCTCACATGGAATCCTGAAGGTCAAAGGAGAAGAGGAAGACCAAAGAACACATTACGCCGAGAATTAGAGACAGACATGAGAAGAATGAACAAGAACTGGATAGAACTAGAAAAGAAGGCCCAGGACAGAGTGGGTTGGAGAAAGCTGGTCGGCGGCCTATGCTGCATTGGGAGTAACAGGCGAAAATAAGTAAGTAAGTATATATATAATATTACTTATCGAAATTCCATAGTGTTTCTCGACAGTATTGAATCTGAAAATAATCGTATTTTATGTTTCAAGACAATCAAGAGTCTGTTCCATTCAAAACATAACAAAGTTTAATAAAGCGTTTTATTTTTTTCTAGAATATGACAATCAACAAGGGCTTACATAAGTATGAACAATTGAGCAGTTAATTTTTAAAAAAACTATGATCATATACATATGAAGAAAAATATCATTGGCATTGCGTATAAGACATTTTTTATGATTTCCAATTGTGGTAGAATTTTTTATATAGTAAAGAACAGTTTTGTAATTAACCTTTCTGAAATTCTAATGAGATGCTTATTGACCTGTTTATTCAATGGAATCAAAAGTAGGACGGTAATCTCATTGATAAAATTTGCTGAGAATAAAGCTAACACATTAATATTCCCTGAATTTTAAAATATAAAATGCTGTATTCTGACTCAATGATCTAAACGTACATTGTTTTTGCAGTAAGACAAGGATATTCTGGTCTGATGTCAATTTATGGTTATAGCCCATCAGTTATAAAAAGTCCCAAACTAAAAGGAAACAGCTGTTCATTGTGCTTTTAATTCCTCAATAATTTTCCAGTTAATATTATTTAATAATCAATACATAATACATTATTGAATATATGATTGAAAAGAAATTTATACTTTGAATACATATATGCCTTGATATAATAATAATATTAGTTTCACCATCTATTGGCTACGTTAGAAATCTCATTACAAAGTAGATTTATTGAGCTGATTGTAGAGAGGAAAAGTTACAATGATCTTAATCACATGACCTGGTAGTTTCAATAGTACAAGAAAATAAATCTTGCCAGTTTAGTGTACGGATATATATACATATATATATCAGTGAATAAAAGAATATGGTAACCATAACAACATTTTATACAAAGATTTATTTTCTTAGTCAAAACAGCTTACACATTATTATTATTACTGGTATTAGTATTATTACTAGTATTCAAATGACTATGAAACCTTTTAATAATGAAAATAATTTTACAAATAGATGTGATAAAAGATTACAGTTATTAACCTTGTAAACACACGGATATTAAAAGATTTACAATCAAGTATAAAATTAATTGTTGATTGATATAAACTTGAAGTTTCATTTAAATATTTAATGGTTGTTTACTTTGTTCAATATCACTGAATAATATGAGTTCTTAAATACTACGCATTTTCTTCTATCTGAAGTGAATTAATTTAAACGGACTAAAAATGGAACACATAGCCAGTTCCTAATTTTTGATCAACAGAATTACGAGGAAGGAGGGAGACAGGTTGTGTAACAAGCTGTATTTGCTAAAGGAACAGTTTATACAGATAATGTTTTTTTTAGATAATTGTACTGACCCAGACATTGAACATATGAGTGATCTTAGTTATCAAAGTAATCCACTTACCTATTAGGTTTACAAAGTTCTGTTAGTACACTAAAGCAGTTACTCTAAATATTTAAGATATATTTTCTCAGGTAAAATTTGACCGTTCCTAATCAATCAATTAGAAAGCTATACAAAGTTGTCCAAGAACCACACATATTTTTTATTCTTCCTATACCTACAGTTCATATGCTTAAATATATAAAATATCAGACCACAGTACACAAAGATTAGTGAATTAGAAATAATTACTATAACTTAAACACTTTTGACATGAAACTGAGCAATAACCCTATTAAAAAATAACCGCAACTTATAAGCAAGAAGAGATAATAACAATAACTATCAAGTGAGAAAAAAAGCTTATAATTAGAGCTACATAAAACTGTCCTAAGACAACGACTAAATCCCTTCAGAGATAGATACTGGAGTTTCACTATTCCTTTTTCTTTTCATTTCTTTCTTCAAGTAACAATAGTTTCATTTCGAAAGGAATAACATATAATGAAACAGTCAAAACCACAAAAAATGTTATCAACCGAGATATGAAAATCTCATAAACGAAACCATTTTAAATTTATTTATATACTACTATATTGTTTGAAGTTTAACAAAATTTCAATGAGTTATAATGAAGTTGAAATTTCTACGGTTATCTTCTTTTTACCAGTGTATTAGTTTACATTTACACAATAGATATTAGAATATTAAAGATTTCCATTGCGTTGTTTTAATTTTCACAATAGATATTGTTTTTAAACAATAGTCCCATACTGAATTGATATCGAAAAATCTAACTCAACTAAATTAGTAAGGGGTATTATTATTTATATCAATAATCATAATAAGATGATGGATGTACTAGTAATGACAAGACCGGAAAATAAATAATGTTAAAAGTTTCATCGTGTCATTGTTCGTTTGTTTACTCATTACTACTACTAGTACACCTGTCATTTTATTAACAATTTATGTAATCAACATCATTGTTATTGCTGACACAAAAACTGACTTGATTGATTCCATACTTATCATATAATCATGAAAATACTACATTATATTGGAGTACAGTCTGATGAAGACCTAATTAAAAACAATATTGTTCTTATATATATATATATATATATATATATATATATATATATATATATATATATATATATATATATATATATATTCAGTCCGAGATAAGTTCGTGCATGAGAAGTTACATACTAGGACGAAATAGCAGTCCAGCATTATCAAAGGTAATCTAACTTAGTTTGGTTCGCAATCTCAATATTATAAAAACACCGATAAAACATAGAATAATATGACAGAATATACCTCATTTGTTGAGTACACATTTATGATTTCTTTCTTTCAGTGCTATGGAATAATAAGAATCGGTTCTCTAAACTAATGAAGATAAATTACACTTCAAAAGCAGTCACTTTACATCCCAACAACAAGTACTTCTTAATAAAATCCCAATAACAAAAACGGTCAGTATCTAAGATTATTATACTGTGAAACGAAACATACCATAGTTTGAAATGTAGAATGTAACTGAACAAGAAATGGTGGTTTACGTTGTAATGCTAATACTCGACGTTCAATCATTGCACAGTCTACATCATCATCTTGTAGAACAACATCTTTTTTTAGAATTTTCACAGCATAAAGTTCATCTGTATCTTTACGTTCAGCTAACATTACCTGTAAAAATGCAAACAAATTTAGGGCATTATCATCTCACTAGTTCAATATCGTCGCGTGAGAAATATTAATCAGTCAGTCAGTCATAAAATACTTAGAACCTGATATACATATACATTAGAAGTGTTAGACATATTATCAAGATGAGTATAAGTAATAAAGGACAAACATTTTGCATAGAGAGAGTAATTCAATAGGAAAGAATTGTATTAGTGAAGAGCTATCAAGAAGAACTAGTTGAGAAATATATCAAAAGGGGGTTTGTGGAGATTTCAGTAATTTTATAGTCTAAACCATGAATCAATTGAAGCTAGACCACCATAGAAAACCTGGAAGCACTGGACGGCCGTTTCGTCCTATTGTGCTACATCTCAGCAATGCGCCTCCACGATCCCGTCTCGCGAGACTCGAACCCAGGACCTACCAGTCTCGCGCACGAGCGCTTAACCACTGGACCACTGAGCCGGCATCCAACAGTGCTAATGTCTAACTTCAACCAATCCACGAAATTGAGCAACCTTCCACTATTTATCTTCAGTGAGTTCATATCTCACAACATACCCGGTTGTACTCCACTGGTCACTGCTTCTCACCAGAACTCCAGAAAATATATCTTTATGCCAGTAACTAGTGAGCATATGTGTTGGGATGACCCTGCATTTTTCTCGCAAGCGATATAACAAGCTCAGGGGTCATCAAGGAGCATTTCAACCAATCAGCGATCAATTAGAAGTTATGTGAAGTTATGTTACTAAAATAACGAAAATGGAAAAGTCACATGTGGAGATCCTGATTGGCTGATTTTATACACTGCTACTATGTTTAGCAGTGTTCTAGAACTTTCAGTAAAACTCAAGGACTCTTAAATTACTATAAAATCACCATATTTTCTGTACATAAAGGAACCCTGTAGTAAAGTGCTTCCCACACACTTTGTGCCTTTTCTCTGGTCTTCAAGTCGGTGAGTGGTTCTAGCTCGGGGGTACGGAACTAGCTTAGGGAAGCAAATATATCGTTCACAATCGGCCAGATATAACAGTGGCGACGGGGATGGGATCAGAAGGGGGTTTGTGAAGATCGTAGATGTGCACTGCTGAGAAGTCCCACAATAAGATGAGACGGCCGTTTAGTGCTTCCAGATTTTCCATGGTGGTCTAGCTTCAATTGATTCATGATTTCAACTATGAAAAATATATGTATTTCTTTAAGCTATTTCCATGTTAAAAGTATCTGAACAAAAATATTTTATCTAAATTACAAAGGAAATAATTCTTAAATCATAATTACACAAGAAAGATGAAAAATAATCTGTTTATTTCAACATTAACGATTAAGGCAAGACATAACTGCACAAAATATAAGTTGAATCATTTACAATGTTTTACTTCTGAAAGTTATTGGCCAGTCAATTAACTTTTCTTATCTATTTAAAATCAATTACATCTGGGATGATGTAATGCGATATAAAATTTAACAGAAACGATACTTTGCGCTTACATGAAGTCAGTATATAATTATAAGTCAACTATCGTGATAATAACGGAAAAAATGACAGATCAATAGTACAATATCACATGGGTGTGTTGTTCAGTTTTAAAATGAAACAATTAATAATAATATTGCTGTTGTTTATAGAGATTTTCCAGTTGATTTATATCTGCGACCATGAGAAATCCTCTTCAAATTGGTTTAATCTCAATAAAATCATCAAAATAAAACATTTCTTTCAATTAGCGTACAATATAATACTAATGAATTATTTAAATTGAAAACAATAATAAAATGAAAATAGTTTTATTTTAGTAAAAAAATATATATTACTGAAAAACATAATTATATGAATGAATAATATTCTTTTCAATAATTTCTCATCGAGTTCTACTATTATAAATATTGCTGAAGAATTCCACAATAGAACGAAACGGTCATTCAATGCTCTCAGGTTTTCCATGGTGGTCTAGCTTCCATTGACTCATGATTTCAACTATGAAAATACTGAAATCTCCACAAAACCCCTTCAAATGATGGATTATTAATTTGGATATATAATTGTAAAACCTGATGAGAAATTATTGAAAAGAATATTTCTCATTCATATAGTGATGAATTTCGTGATAAATGACAAAATTCAAATTTTTCCACTTAAACAATAAACCAACAAACAGAAAACACAATAGAGAAAATCCATGTTAACCAACATTATTATTATTGGAAATATGTCTTGATATATATATAACAGATTAATACAAATCTGACGCTTAAGGATTAGGAAAGAATAGTGATATGTTAAACAGCTGTTTATTATTGTTATTATTATGAAAAAGAGTAAGCTTATTATAGGAAACAAACAATTTACATATCATAAGATCAGAAATTATGTAATATATATATGAAAGTTTTGAAGAATGAGATTGTTTGCATGTAATTAAAGTATTAGAAAAAAAGTATTATAAATTGAACTAAATGAAATCAGACCCTATATACAATAAATACATTAGTAATATCAGGTTACATTTTAATGCTTAAAACTTAAAATCTGATTAATTTCCACTGGATTATAAGAAGACAATTCTCTAACGCAAATAAACATTGCTGTAGGTGAAGTTTTGTTCTCTGAGCTGAATGGCTTGATCGTGAAGCTTTCACTATTCTTCTGAACGATATCATAAGCACAAACATTAATTAGAAGTGGAGTGTTCGAACTCCCCACATATAACTCACAGTTTGCCCTTTAGACCTCAATCTTGATTGATTATTGTTGAACTTTAACCTGTCGTTGTCTAACTCTTTATTTTGATTTTATCTCTCATTGATTCGATTCTTGGTCGTATATTTGTCCAATATAGATCGAGGTCGACAGAACAAGCTGTGAGTCATATATGAGGAATTCGAACACTTCACTTCTATCTGAAGATTGTGCTGGTAATATTGTTCAAAAGTACAATAAAAGTCCCACTATCAAACCATCCAGTTCAGAGAACGAAATTCCACCTCAATCATCCACCTGAGCTAAATATCATCTGTAATGTCTCAAAATGTAGCTCTAACTCATCAACCACCATAAAATGTATTTGATTTTGAACCATACTGTTTGTGTAATGACCAGTGATACCATTTAGCTACCCCGAGTGAAGCAGGTCAAATAGGGCTCCAATTCTCAATCTGATAGTTGAGAGATCACTAATCCTCTCCTTATACCAACATTTCAGACACCAAGTGACAGTGTTAAAACTTGTTACATTTGACTTTGCATGAGTAACTAGGTGGTATCAATATAAATTTCGCTCTAAAATATCTTTATCAAAACCGGGTACATAAATCTGTCATTATTCAATGAAAAGCATTGAAACTCAAACTTTTTAACTATGTAATCTCCAAAGTAGAACTGATGATATAACAAAAATAACTTTATTATTGTTATTAAAATTATGGACTTTAAAAATAACTTTGATAATAGAAAGAATCACCTTTCCAAAACTTCCTTTGCCCAATACTTTGATAAATTTGAAATCTGTTGCTCTGACTACATCACGTAATTTTGTTGGACAGTTTTGCAGATTCTCATTATCATCACTGTAAATATCTGCTTTAAATTGTGACTGCAATAGATAATAAAATAATCAATAATAAAAACAATTAATTATTACATAAATAGAAAAAGTTGTAATAACTAGGCAATTTGTTGTTATTATTACAGAAACAAGACTATAATTGATGGATGACGAATCATTCAAATTTAATATAAACTTAGATTTTTGTACAAAATTTATTTGCCCATATGATTTAACAGTATTTTGACATTATAGCTGGTGTTAGTTCAAGATGAAAATTCTCAATATTATTTCCATCCTTAACTCCTTATTCTAATACTTTATAATCATTCATAACTCGATTTTGACCCTAGTAAGTGGTATGTGTATTTGACAGCCACTTTAGTATCATTCAAGGATCGTCCATTAATTATGGTTTTATCGTTTACACTATAAACTGTCCATGGCTAAATACCAGTACGCAATGGAGAGCGATATCAACCCAGTGTTTTACATTTTACATAATTTAACCAAGAAAACTGACCATCGATAAACCATACACTCACAATACTGATGAAAATATGTGACAACTAAAAATTGATTATTTCGTACAACTGAATAAGGCGTATTGTAGTGACCATGGTGAATAGTTTATAATATTACTTCACAGAAAACATAAGGTATTACACTGACTAGGTGTTACGTAATAAATAACTACGAAAAGTGACCACCAATGATAATGACCACTTTTTTATTCAAAGAAAGACACAATGACGACTTATTAATAAAGCATAAATAATTGAGGTTCAAACCGAATATGATGAAGAGAAATGAATAGTTCGCAATTAAACATAAAAAGTGAAAAACAAACAGGGGGTTTGTCATAAGTCACAATTATAGTAGCCTTTTAAAAAATTACCCGACATCACTGATGACAAGTGCATTAAAATAAAGTGCCCACGTGATTTAATACAATTATTATGACTGCTAGTCTGAGGTTGTGGAGTTTATTTTATTGAAACTATGAAGTAATCTAAGTCAGAACATCGTTAAAAACGTGAAAGAATTAGACTATTTCACTCTAAAATAGGACTCTTCAACAGTGCGTATCTACAAACTTGTATGCTGAAATGGAACCCAAGACTCTCAGTCTCGCGCGAGAATGTTTTAACTCTAGACTAGCGAGACAGCATCTAGCAGTTACAATGTCCAACTCCAATCAATCCACGAAGATAGTCATGCGATGTTGTAACATAGAACAGTGATATAAATAAAATGCCTAACTGAAATGGAATCAATAGATGTATTATTGGATCTTATCAAATTAAGGTTTTAAAGTCAAAATAATTTGTAAAAAATCGCGACATGAAAAGAAACACTACAATACTTTGCATATTAAAACGTTCTGAACTTAGTCTACCCGAAAAACTAAGTGAAAGTTGAAACACTCCTCGGAAAAAAAACAATAATTTATAAATGGAAGGGCGTCATTCTAATGTAACTAAAGTCTTCAAGTACTGAGTAAAAAAGGTTTCGAAGTAATCAACAAACATCAAGAGTTTGTGTTATGCGGTAGTTTTGGAAGTAATAAAAAATTATAGTTTATGGAATAACCGGCAGCTGAGGTATTGAAGAACAGCTGATCCAGATCCTTGGAAAAGACGTTTTACTCCACAGCGCTCCGAACTGTTTTCTTTAGCAGGAAATCTTGAGGTGGAATGTCAGGGACGAACTGCCGCTTTGGACTATCTTAATATGCATCTACCAGTTTACTTGCTCTTGTGAAGCAAGGTACATTTACCATACAAAACGCACACTTGGCAAACGCATATCTAAGCAGTACCCTGAATGATTATCTAAAAGGGCATACAAATCCATCGACAGCTCAATTCTCGAACACATGATCAACTCGGGTCACACCCCATCACGCAAGTCTGCGTTCAAAATCCTGTATAAAGTGATAATTGGTTCATACAAGGTTTGGAAAAGGAATTTATGCACGGCCAAGGCTACAATAATATGCTATTTTAAAATCGAAATACGTGTACAGAAGAATTACTTTCAATCCATCATCTTCCTATAGTCTTAACATCCTTTCGAATTTTACAGATTATCACTGCTAATTATTACCTTCTTCATCTCCTCCCGTATTAAATAGACAGTTGTCTTCATGTTTTATTTTGTAAATTATTACTTTTGATTACTTCCAAAATACAGATTGTTGGTCACTTTTTCAAAGGAGACAGCTTTTTTGTTCACTAAATAATGATCCTCTATTTTCTGGATAATTGAGATACATTGTTTTAGCAATGTAAAACCATCCATTTTTTACTTATCATCTCCAACGTAACAAATAAGTGGTATTTTCAGTTTGGGGTTGTGGAAATTGTTGAATTTCATTGAAATCATGAATCGATTAATGTTAGACTACTATTAAAAACCTGTAAGCACTGGAAGGTTGTTTCTTTCTCGTATGGGACTTCTCAGCAGTGCGCATCTACGATTGCTCACGCGAGATTCAAACCCAACAGCTTCGGTCTCGAGCAGGAACACTTAACCTCTAAACCACTAAGTCAGCAATCAACTAAGTCAATGTCTGACTTTAACCATCCCAACTCGATGAAGTCATGTAATTACATGTTTATTTTATAAATTTTACTTTATACGACTTGTTAAATATTGTATGTAGTTTACAGATAAGTAATTTTCTCATTAGATAATATTTTCCTCATGAAATTAGAATTTATAATGAAATGACTTTCATCCTTGAAAAACGTTTCTTTACCAGGTTAATCGGTCAATTAAGTAAACTGATTTCAACACACACACATATAAAGACAAAGTAGAAAAGTTTCAATATGTCAGTTGAATTTCAGCATAAAAATATTGTTATAGAACTTTCAAGTTGTGGGTTCAATCCCTTGTAAGAGGACAGAAAACTAATATGAAACAAGTGTTTCGTTGAAGATAAAAATTATTCTTGAATATGTGATCAAGTATGAGTACATGCGACCTTCAATGCTGAACTTAAGTAAATTTTTTTCCATCTCACTTTCTCTCTCTTTCTATCCCTTTATCTACTTGTATTTACTAAATTATTAATAGGTTTTCTGCTTTTCAATAGTATAGATAATCTTTTGTCTTTATCACAATGTAATTACTTTCCTCGCAAACATTAAATAAAAGGGGATAAGAACGAAACAAATTAGTTGATAGAATACAATTAGATGAGAACTCTACATTAAAACTTGAAAGGGAAAGTTATAAAAAGAGGCTTATTACTTACCGACTTCAACAATGTGTATGGATATATATATATATATATATATATATATATATATATATAGTACTAATTTGTACATAATAATAAAAGTACATTTTAGAATGATCATGTCATCATTTCTACGCTTTCGTGAGTTCAAAGAAAAGAAATATTGCTTTTTGTGAACTTTGTTTTCGTATCAATAAGGTAAGTCCATAGTAAATGAACGAACAGGTGTCAGATGAGGTTGTAGAAGATAGGCAGAAATCTCTAGACTCAGATTTCATTGTACTTGACTACGATCATCAAGATTTATCGGAATTCTTGATAAAACTAATAGTCCAAGCAAGATTTGAAGTCATATTTAATCATTGAATGTATATGATATTAAGTAAATTAGACCAATGATTATATTTCAACCTAATCAATCCAATTCAATAAACAATAAGGGACTAAGGAAGAGGTAAAACATTAGTAAATACTCAGTGATTATTCAATTTTATAACTGAACAGTTCATGACAGACTTTATACTTGCAACGGATACCTCGTCATTATTACTAATCTACAAATTTAACTGTTGTACTAATGATAATTTTACAGGAATGTCACTGTAGCTGAATTTTTAAAAATTTAAATCTTTGATTACAAATATTGGATCATGTAAATGATTCTGTAAGAGGTTACTGATAAACCTCATATATTTAAAATTATGTCCATTTACAAACAAAAACAATATTGAATTCACTTAGTATTGTTTGTTTGGATCTTCCCATCGATGTGTTTAGGACTGCAACTGGTCAGTCTCTAATTGGCATATGTGCATACTGTGCGTATTGTCTCGATATACCTTAATTAACAAGCATGGTAAGCAGAGATGGATAGTGGCTAGCAGTGGAATCCAGGACGCGCTTTTCGTCCTATTTGGGACTCGTCAGCTGGATGGCGTTTGAAGCGAGGGTACTGGGTTCGAGTCCCAGAGTGAACATCAACTCTGAGATGCAGGTACATCCAGCTGACGAGTCCCAAATAGGACGAAACGCGCGTCCTGGATTCCACTGCTAGCCACTATCCATATCTGCTTACCATGCTTGTGAATTAAGGTATATCGAGGAAAAACAATATTGGATTGTTTGAAGTTAGAAATTAACACTGCTGGATGCCGGCTCAGTGGTCTATCGGTTAAGTGCTCTGGGGCGAGACTGGTAGGTCCTGGGTTCGAATCTCGCGAGTGCGGGATCGTGGATGAGCACTGCTGAGAAGTCCCATTATAGGACGAAACGGCCGTTTTCCATGGTGGTCTAGCTTCAATTGACTCATGATTTCAACTATGAAAAAACAATAGTATTTTGTGCTAGTATTTGGGTTGTACGTATTTTACACATGATGAGGATCTCCAAAACGTATTACAGATAAGTACAAGATTCGATATTTAAAAAATTAAATAAGTCAACCGGAAGGGATAAGCACAAATTCAACAGAATGATTAGTACATTTCTTCCAGATACTCAGTTATCGACTATTTATCTCACTGTATGATATCAAGTCTATTAACAACCAGAGTGGAAGAAACATATAACAATATGATCAAGAAATATTTCTAACAACACATGTAAGCGAACAATTGTTTTTAATTAGATCGTCATCAGGCTTTACTCCAATATACATGAATATTTATACGAAAATGTTAGACAAATCAAGGCTGTTTGAGTCAATAATCTCAATGAAATAGAAAACGTCTGTAATAGAATACCTTTGTAATTTTCCGCCTCTTTCCATTTGTATTCTTGACTGTCTAATTATTTACAT